GGTCAAAGTCACTTTTACCTTAATACTTAAAACAGTTTCTAGAGCATAATTAAAGTTCCAATTGGCCCACAATATTCAAACTTCTTAGGATGATTGTCCATATAAGGTAGAAGACCCCTATTGATTTGGGGTCACAAGGTCAAAGGTTAATGTCATTCAATTAATAACTTAAGTATTAATCAACCTACAGCTGTAAAATTTTATAGGATGAACAGCTAATTCCCTGTTTTAAAAATGCTTCATCCTTACTAAAAAAAAACACTTTCGGGCATATAATGCTCCGCCTAGCGGTGCCCTTGTTATATACCTTGTCGTTAATGAAATGTAGTTGTTCAAAAAATAAATTTATGACTGACGGATGAATACGTAAAGTCTTGCAAACCGGCCGCGCCTTTAATTAATTTTGGTTCCCGTTTCCAAAATGCAACGTTATACAAAGCTAAGATCGGAACCAACGTCAAAAATAGTCCGGCAACACTTCCATATATGGTACCGTATTTGTCACTAACATAATACGGAAATTTCTATCCGTATCTAATACAAAACAACAAAATTGGACTAGGTCTAAAAGGTTGAACTGACATTGAGCTTTAAATAACATTAACCGTCAAGGTCAAATGATTGAATTTTGGTATTGATACTTATGTACAGATTTGATTAATACATACATGTAGACAAAACAGCACTTGTCACCAAACCAGCATGTTGAATAATTGAGACGTGACTTTGAGTCCTTGACCTTTAATGACAATGACATTCACCATTGGCGTCAGATGATTGAATTTTGCTTTATGCTCGAAAATTTGCTTTAAAACAAACTAGAAAGGGTTTAAGAAACTTAAAATTTAACAAACTCAGTTTTTATTTATTTTTGTTCTATTCATTGAAATATGTAATAACATTAAAACTTCCAATAGTGTTATGCCAATTGTTTTCTTCTCATTAAATCTGGAGGTCTGCAGTTTAAAGATGTATGTGAGCTACAAATATTGCATGAATAAAAACAGCAGTAGTAGATTATTGTAGTTTGTGAAATAAAATACTGATTAGAAGGAAACTTTTAAGTGATCATGGTCTGCACTGTTTGCTGCTCAGTCAGTTCTTATTTTGAAAATTTCCATAAAAAGTGATGCATGTCTTTTTTGTTTGTCCGGAATGAAAGATGGACAAGTCCTAATAAGATATTTAGGGTGGTAATGGATAATTTTTCAATTTTCATTGAATATATGATATTAAAGAACTGTCAAAAAGTGTGCTCTGGTTTGACACCTATAACATTGTTTCAAAGGTCATTTACCTAAACCGTTGGTAAGGTTTTTAATTGCTATCCCAGACTTTCAACTTTAGGTGTTTTAATTTTTAAAGATTTTTTTATTAAGCTTTGATTAAATGTTGTGTTGTACTAAAATAGTTTATATACTTTTGTTTTGCCATAAATCCTTTGTAATTTATTAAAATGCATTTATATGAAGCAGTACATAGTATATGTAATATAATTATTCTTGTTAAGAGCCAAAATGTATCAATATATTAGGGATTTCCCAGATCCTCACTATTGTGACTGACAATTTCAGTGGTTGGTAGCTTTTGTTTAAATAATTTTGCACATATTTATTTTGTACAAAGAAAAATGTTTTAGCCTGAACCACTGGGTCATGAGTTATTTATAGAAAATACTTGCTATTGAAAGGTAGAAATTGTGTCTATTATTTGTATGTTAACATGTGCATGATATAAATTAAGGTCTGATATTTACATATATTTAAACTGTGGTGTAAACTATGATTATGTGAGGCATGATTATGTGAACCATAATTGTGTGACCCTTGATCATGTGAACCATGATTTTTTCAACCATTGTTATGTGAACCATGATTATGTGACCCATGATTATGTAAACCATGGTTATGTGAACCAAGCTTTTTTTCAACTGCATATTAGTGTAAATGATTATGAATATATTTTTATGTTTTCATTTTCTAATAAAAGGCTAAGAATAATCTGCATGTTGTTTGTTGTATGTTGTATTCATAACCCAGTGGTTAAGGTGATTGCTGTAGAGTAACATGTTTCTTTGACTGTGGTTGGTCAAATTTTTCAAATGCTAGTTTAGTTTTTCTTAAATTATTTATCAGTTTAGTATACATTTATAGATGTCTTTTTATACTTTGTGCAATATTCTTCACTTAACTCTTGTATGGAATACTGATTAGAAGGGGACTTTTAAGTGACTTTTCTTATTTCTTTCAAAACAATTTACAAGTTAAAAGTTTTGTGTAATTTTGATGATTTATCTTTAGCCTGCTGACTGCAACTAATATTACCCATGGAACCAGTGCAGACCAAGATCAGCTGACACATCTGTGCTGTCTTATCATGGTCTGCACTGTTTGCTACTGATCAAGGTCTGCACTGTTTGCTATTCAGTTAGAACTTATTTTGAATTTTTTTTTAAATAGTGATGCATGTTTTTTCGACCAGAATGAAAGTTGGACAATTCCATTTAAGATATTAATGGTGGTAAGGGTTTACATATGATTTTCATTGAATACGGGATATTAAAGAACTGTCAAAAGAGTGCTTTGGTTTTGACACCTATGACCTTGTTTTAAAAGGTTATTTACCTTTAGTAAGGTTTCATTTACGATTCCAGACTTTTAATTTTAGGTGTTTTAATTTTTAAAGATTTTTTTATTACAGGTTTGATTAAATGTTGTGTTGTACTAAAATACTTTATATATTTTTTGTTTGTCCATAAATCATTTGTAATTTATTAAAATTGCATTCATATGAAGCAGTAAGTAGTTTATGTAATATAATTATACTTGTTCAGAGCCAAAATGTATCAATATCTTTGCAATTGCCCAGACCCTTACTATTGTAACTGACAATTTCAGTGATTGGTTGCTCTTGTGTAAACAGTTTTGCACATATTTATTTTGTAAAAGGAGAAATGATTATCTAAACCTTGATTATGTGACCCATGATCATGTGACCCATGATTGTGTGACCCATGATTATGTTATGGTTATGTTAACCATGATTATGTGAACCATGATTTATTCAACCATTATGTGAACCATGATTATGTAAACCATGATTATGTGAACCATGATTTATTCAACCATTATGTGAACCATGATTATGTGAACCAAGCTTTTTTCAACTATATTAATGTTAATGATTATGAATATATTTTTATGTTTTCCTTTTCTAATAAAAGGCTAAGAAGAATCTGCATGTTGTTTGTCATACATTGTGTTCACGGCCCAGTGGTTAAGGTGAATGTTGTTGACTAACTTGTTTCTTTGAATGTGGTGTGTCAAAGTTTTTCGAAAATGGAGATTAACCATTTAAAAGAATGAACCATGCTGTGCATCTTGGGTCTCCCTCTCTTTCTCAGAAAGCTGGACAACTGCCTTATGATAATAACAGTGCCACTGTGACTTAAACCCCTTGTGGCTTGAAGGGTTGTGGCATCAGAATTGCAGCTACTGTTTATCCTTATGTGATCATAACATGTGAATTACTGAGGGTACGAATTACATGATGCTATGCATCTCTTCTCCAGCAGGTGAGGTGGTTTTGACCCTTGGTGTAACTTATTAAATTGTGTTGGCGTGCCATAAAGCCAAAGAGAGCTTTGCCTTAAACCATACCATATTACTGGCCAATAATTTTCATGTGAGGAATCAATCCATACAACTTACTGAAGATTATTTGCGTGAAATAATGTACCTAAATGTTACAGAGGTAACTTGCATTTTCCTACACCAAAAAAGATGAAAACATTTCAATCATACTTTAAACCTGAGCCCACTGGCAATAACAGATTTATCCACGCCACTAGTACAAGCCCAAGATCAGCTGACACATTTGTGCTGTAGTTGCTTTTACAAGATACAAGTTTTGTGTAATTTTGATGATTTATTTTTAGCCTGCTGACTGCAACTAATATTACCCATGGAACTAGTGCAGACAAAGATCAGCTGACACATCTGTGCTGTCTGATCATGGTCTGCACTGTTTGCTACTGATCATGGTCTGCACTGTTTGCTATTCAGTTAGAACTTATTTTGAAATTGTTTACCTTAAATGATGAATGGGTTTGTACAGATTGAAAGATGGACAAAGATTTTTCCCACTCTGAAATGATCTTGTGAAACATAGATTAATTTTTTAATCAAATGTTTATTTTGGTGTATGCATTAAATGAAATTATATTAATTTATGTTTTCAAAAATAGAAAACGGTCACTTAAACTTTTGAATAATCAACATTTTAACTGATTGATAATTTTAAGTGATATATTCAACTTATTAGTCCCCTACCGGTTTACCGGAGGGGACTTTAGGTTTACCCTCCGTCCGTCTGTCCGTCCGTCTGTCCGTCAGTCCACAAAACTGGATCCCGCGATAACTTGAAAAGTACTGAAAATATTTTTATGAAACTTGATATATGGATAGATGGCAGTATGGAGATTATACACGTCTTTTTCTTTTCTTCCTATGTTGAAAATTCTGGTTGCTATGGCAACAAATAGGCTGAAAATATGGCAAATTTTACACATAAACTGGATCCAATGATAACGCAAAAAAGTACTGGAAATATTTTTTATGAAACTTTAAATATGGGTAGATGGTAGTCTGGAGATTACGCACGTCTTTTTTCTTTTCTTCCTATGTTTGAAAATTCTGGTTGCTATGGCAACAAATAGACTGAAAATATGGCAATTTTTACACATAAACTGGATCCAGTGTTAACGCAAAAAGTAATAGAAGTATCTTTATGAAACTTGTAATATGTGTAGATGGCAGTCTGGAGATTATGCACATCTTTTTCTTTTGAAAATTCTGGTTGCTGTGCCAATTATACTAGGGACAGTATCAGAGGTGAATATGAATATAAAATTGTGTGTACGTGTGATCTGATTTTGTGTTGTATCTCTACATAGAGAATACAAAAGTAATATATTGTGTGTACATGTGATCTGATTTGATGTGTATATGTGCATAGAGAATACAAAAGTAATATATTGTGTGTACATGTGAGCTGATTTGGTGTGTATATGTGCATAGACTAAACAAGAGTAATACATATTGTGTGTACATGTGATCTGATTTGGTGTGTATCTGTGCATAGAGAATACAAAAGTAATATATTGTGTGTACATGTGATCTGATTTGGTGTGTATATGTGCATAGAGTATACAAGAGTAATATGTATTGTGTGTACATGTGATCTGATTTGCTTGGAAAGTAACCTCACCATTTCTTGAATGTGTTTTAACCACATTGCATTCACTTACCATTTTTATTAGAATGCTTATTTTTTCATGCTCTTAATAGGAGTTTTTATTTAACTCTTTTTATAATAATCAATATTCAATATGTTGTTCTGTCAAAAGTACTCTGGGTACCTTTCATGTCTCTTAAAAATTATTGTTTTTGAAGTGTAATGTTGGTGAAAAATACAAACTAATTTTAATGTAGCTTTACCACTATATTCAAATATATTAGATCAAAGTTTGTGTCTGGGAATGTTAAAATCATTTGCAATGCTTTAAAAAAAATGAATGCTTGTTATACGTCAGAAATTTGGTCAACATATTGAATAATGAATATTTATAATCTCATTAACATTCCATAAATATTCATTACATGTTAATTGTTTAAGGCAGTGACCTTTGTATGTATTTGACTAATGAGGCTGAACTATGTTAAACCATGTTATATGACTACATATGTATTTCTTTGGGGGCTGAGCTAAGGTTAAGCCATGCCATGTGACTGATCTGATCTTTCTTTTTGGCAGAGGTAAAGTTAAACCATGTTTAACTATGTTATTTTATGGGAACAGAATTAAGTTTAAAATATTTTAAAAGATTTTTTATTTATTTTTTTTATTTTCAATTTTTGACTTCAGAAATAATAAAAAGTAAAGCATTGTCCTCACTTGGGGTGGCTATTGTTTTTTTTACAATTGAAATCTGTCATGTGACTAGATATGAAATTCTGTGGGAATGCAGCTACAGTTAAAATATGTCATGTTGTTTAGGAGAGCAAGTCATGTTACTAGATTTGTTTAATGTTGTTGGATGGAGATATGATTCTGATATATCATGTGACTTTATTAGCTAGTAAAATTGTTTGGTAGAATGAAGGTTATTTTAATGTCCTATAACAAAATGATGATACACACCAAAATTGTAAATAATCTATAATAATGGCTTTAAAACCCACATTTTAATTTTAAATGGTACACTAGGGCAATGTGTGCTTGTAGTAAAGGAATGACACACTTTTAATAAAAGTTTCTTAATTAACTTCATTTGTTAGATTTTTATTTCTTTTTATCAGAATAAATCATAGCCGTATTTTTGATTAACAATGCACAATGTTTAAAAAAATGTTTTTATTACAATAACACTTGTACCAAGAGTATGAAAGGTATTATTTTAATGGACTCCTCAGAATTGACATCTTTAACTTTTACCCATGTCTTCAACGAATTATAGGTGCTTTTTGTCTCGCCACTTATAGGGATCACTTCTCCGTTGTCTATCACATCCATCATAGAACTTGTCCAGACTACTTCTCAAAAAATACTGGTGCAATTTCATCCAAACTTTAATGGAATGATCATTAACATGTCTAGTTTCGCATAATGTTGGCATTTTTCTGGTTCAGTGATTTTTGAGTTATGGCCCTTTGATGAATTTTATTTTTTAAAGTTTTGTCCGGACTATTTCTTCTTATACTAATATTGCAATTTAAGTGAAACTTTACATGATTGAACGGTATCTCAAGTACTTGCCCATATTTAATGGACTTTCCTGTTGAATATTTTTTGACTGAGTTATGACCCATAAATAGAAAAAGTATTTGGGTCAGTTCATGATTTTTGTGTCTCCTGCTACTCAGTAGCTGCAACATGCAATTGGCTATCATCAGGTGTCACATGTCATTACTGATTGCTCTAGTTCTGGTATTTGGGAATTTCATGCTTGTGTCACTTTTAACTCAAAAATATATTTGCTAAGGCAATGTATTTTTCAGCATGTAAATTAATGCACCTGTGTATTTTGGCACAAATTTTTCCTTGAGATTGGCAGAGTTATGCCCTCTATAAAGTGTTAAATGGAGCTAATTGCTTAGGAAAAACAAAATTTAATGAGTAAAAAGTATTGAAATTAGAAAGCCCTGATTATGTCTGCCACACGATGATCATGAAAATTTTGACAACCAAACAAAAAAAAAAAAGATTTTAATGAAAACAAAGCAGGAAAGCTTGTGAAATTGAGCCCGGTTTTGTTTCTTTTAAAATCTTTATATAAAGTTATGTTGAGTAAAAGGAAAGATTAGATCTAGATTTAGATATACTAGTTTTATCTTTGTTAATTTTTTCACATTTTTACGGTAAAAACATCAATCTTTTTAATGACATGACCAATGTTTTCTCAGGTGAAATGCATATTTATAACTCGAAAATTTGCTTTTAAACAACTTTTAAAAAAATGTTTAAGAAACTTTAAAATTTATAAAGCTCAGTTCATATTTATTTTTGTTTTATTCATTGAAATATGTAATAACAACAAAATTTCCAATATTTTTTTATGCCAATTGTAATATTCTTCTCATAAAATCTGGAGGCCTGCAGTTGTATGTGAGCTTTAAATAGTTCATGAATAAAAACAGCAGTAGTAGATTCCTTTAGTTTGTGAAATGCTAGTTTAGTTTTTTCTTAAAATGTTTATCAGTTTAGTATACATTTATAGATGTCTTTTTATACTTTGTGCAATATTCTTTGCTTAACTCTTGTATGAAATACTGATTAGAAGATGATTTTTTAGTGACTTTTCTTATTTCTTTCAGAACTGTGATTTACAAGTTAAAAAAGTTTAGTGTAATATTGATGATTCATCTTTAGCCTGCTGGCTGCAACTAGTATTACCCATGGTACCAGTTCAGACCAAGATCAGTTGGCACATCTGAGCTGTCTGATCATGGTCTGCACTGTTTTGCTATGCAGTTGGTTCTTCTTTTGATTTTTTTTTTAAATAGTGATGCATGTTTTTTTGACCAGAATGAAAGTTGGACAATTCCATTTAAGATATTAATGGTGGTAAGGGTTTACATATGATTTTCATTGAATACGGGATATTAAAGAACTGTCAAAAGAGTGCTCTGGTTTGACACCTATGACCTTGTTTTAAAAGGTTATTTACATTTTCATTTACAATTCCAGACTTTTAATTTTAGGTGTTTTAATTTTTAAAGATTTTTTTATTACAGCTTTGATTAAATGTTGTGTTGTACTAAAATACTTTATATATTTTTTGTTTGTCCATAAATCATTTGTAATTTATTAAAATTGCATTCATATGAAGCAGTAAGTAGTTTATGTAATATAATTATACTTGTTCAGAGCCAAAATGTATCAATATCTTTGCAGTTGCCCAGACCCTTACTATTGTAACTGACAATTTCAGTGATTGGTTGCTCTTGTGTAAACAGTTTTGCACATATTTATTTTGTAAAAGGAGAAAATGATTATCTAAACCTTGATTATGTGACCCATGATCATGTGACCCATGATTGTGTGACCCATGATTATGTTATGGTTATGTTAACCATGATTATGTGAACCATGATTTATTCAACCATTATGTGAACCATGATTATGTAAACCATGATTATGTGAACCATGATTTATTCAACCATTATGTGAACCATGATTATGTGAACCAAGCTTTTTTCAACTATATTAATGTTAATGATTATGAATATATTTTTTATGTTTTCCTTTTCTAATAAAAGGCTAAGAAGAATCTGCATGTTGTTTGTCATACATTGTGTTCACGGCCCAGTGGTTAAGGTGAATGTTGTTGACTAACTTGTTTCTTTGAATGTGGTGTGTCAAAGTTTTTCGAAAATGGAGATTAACCATTTAAAAGAATGAACCATGCTGTGCATCTTGGGTCTCCCTCTCTTTCTCAGAAAGCTGGACAACTGCCTTATGATAATAACAGTGCCACTGTGACTTAAACCCTTGTGGCTTGAAGGGTTGAGGCATCAGAATTGCAGCTACTGTTTATCCTTATGTGATCATAACATGTGAATTACTGAGGGTACGAATTACATGATGCTATGCATCTCTTCTCCAGCAGGTGAGGTGGTTTTGACCCTTGGTGTAACTTATTAAATTGTGTTGGCGTGCCATAAAGCCAAAGAGAGCTTTGCCTTAAACCATACCATATTACTGGCCAATAATTTTCATGTGAGGAATCAATCCATACAACTTACTGAAGATTATTTGCGTGAAATAATGTACCTAAATGTTACAGAGGTAACTTGCATTTTCCTACACCAAAAAAGATGAAAAACATTTCAATCATACTTTAAACCTGAGCCCACTGGCAATAACAGATTTATCCACGCCACTAGTACAAGCCCAAGATCAGCTGACACATTTGTGCTGTAGTTGCTTTTACAAGATACAAGTTTTGTGTAATTTTGATGATTTATTTTTAGCCTGCTGACTGCAACTAATATTACCCATGGAACTAGTGCAGACAAAGATCAGCTGACACATCTGTGCTGTCTGATCATGGTCTGCACTGTTTGCTACTGATCATGGTCTGCACTGTTTGCTATTCAGTTAGAACTTATTTTGAAATTGTTTACCTTAAATGATGAATGGGTTTGTACAGATTGAAAGATGGACAAAGATTTTTCCCAAATTTTGAAATGATCTTGTGAAACATAGATTAATTTTTTAATCAAATGTTTATTTTGGTGTATGCATTAAATGAAATTATATTAATTTATGTTTTCAAAAATAGAAAACGGTCACTTAAACTTTTGAATAATCAACATTTTAACTGATTGATAATTTTAAGTGATATATTCAACTTATTAGTCCCCTACTGGTTTACCGGAGGGGACTTTAGGTTTACCCTCCGTCCGTCTGTCCGTCCGTCTGTCCGTCAGTCCACAAAACTGGATCCCGCGATAACTTGAAAAGTACTGAAAATATTTTTATGAAACTTGATATATGGATAGATGGCAGTATGGAGATTATACACGTCTTTTTCTTTTCTTCCTATGTTGAAAATTCTGGTTGCTATGGCAACAAATAGGCTGAAAATATGGCAAATTTTACACATAAACTGGATCCAATGATAACGCAAAAAGTACTGGAAATATTTTTATGAAACTTTAAATATGGGTAGATGGTAGTCTGGAGATTACGCACGTCTTTTTCTTTTCTTCCTATGTTGAAAATTCTGGTTGCTATGGCAACAAATAGACTGAAAATATGGCAATTTTTACACATAAACTGGATCCAGTGTTAACGCAAAAAGTAATAGAAGTATCTTTATGAAACTTGTAATATGTGTAGATGGCAGTCTGGAGATTATGCACATCTTTTTCTTTGAAAATTCTGGTTGCTGTGCCAATATACTAGGGACAGTATCAGAGGTGAATATGAATATAAATTGTGTGTACGTGTGATCTGATTTTGTGTGTATCTCTACATAGAGAATACAAAAGTAATATATTGTGTGTACATGTGATCTGATTTGATGTGTATATGTGCATAGAGAATACAAAAGTAATATATTGTGTGTACATGTGAGCTGATTTGGTGTGTATATGTGCATAGACTAAACAAGAGTAATACATATTGTGTGTACATGTGATCTGATTTGGTGTGTATCTGTGCATAGAGAATACAAAAGTAATATATTGTGTGTACATGTGATCTGATTTGGTGTGTATATGTGCATAGAGTATACAAGAGTAATATGTATTGTGTGTACATGTGATCTGATTTGCTTGGAAAGTAACCTCACCATTTCTTGAATGTGTTTTAACCACATTGCATTTACTTACCATTTTATTAGAATGCTTATTTTTTCATGCTCTTAATAGGAGTTTTTATTTAACTCTTTTTATAATAATCAATATTCAATATGTTGTTCTGTCAAAAGTACTCTGGGTACCTTTCATGTCTCTTAAAATTATTGTTTTGAAGTGTAATGTTGGTGAAAAATACAAACTAATTTTAATGTAGCTTTACCACTATATTCAAATATATTAGATCAAAGTTTGTGTCTGGGAATGTTAAAATCATTTGCAATGCTTTAAAAAAATGAATGCTTGTTATACGTCAGAAATTTGGTCAACATATTGAATAATGAATATTTATAATCTCATTAACATTCCATAAATATTCATTACATGTTAATTGTTTAAGGCAGTGACCTTTGTATGTATTTGACTAATGAGGCTGAACTATGTTAAACCATGTTATATGACTACATATGTATTTCTTTGGGGGCTGAGCTAAGGTTAAGCCATGCCATGTGACTGATATGTATTTCTTTTTGGCAGAGGTAAAGTTAAACCATGTTTAATTATGTTATTTTATGGGAACAGAATTAAGTTTAAAATATTTTAAAAGATTTTTTATTTAATTTTTTTAATTTTTAATTTTTGACTTCAGAAATAAGAAAAAGTAAAGCATTGTCCTCACTTGGGGGTGGCTATTGTTTTTTTACAGTTGAAATCTGTCATGTGACTAGATATGAAATTCTGTGGGAATGCAGCTACAGTTAAAATATGTCATGTTGTTTAGGAGAGCAAGTCATGTTACTAGATTTGTTTAATGTTGTTGGGTGGAGATATGATTCTGATATATCATGTGACTTATTAGCTAGTAAAATTGTTTGGTAGAATGAAGGTTATTTTAATGTCCTATAACAAAATGATGATACACACCAAAATTGTAAATAATCTATAATAATGGCTTTAAACCCACATTTAATTTTAAATGGTACACTAGGGCAATGTGTGCTTGTAGTAAAGGAATGACACACTTTTAATAAAAGTTTCTTAATTAACTTCATTTGTTAGATTTTTATTTCTTTTTATCAGAATAAATCATAGCCGTATTTTTGATTAACAATGCACAATGTTAAAAAAATGTTTTTATTACAATAACACTTGTACCAAGAGTATGAAAGGTATTATTTTAATGGACTCCTCAGAATTGACATCTTTAACTTTTACCCATGTCTTCAACGAATTATAGGTGCTTTTTGTCTCGCCACTTATAGGGATCACTTCTCCGTTGTCTATCACATCCATCATAGAACTTGTCCAGACTACTTCTCAAAAAATACTGGTGCAATTTCATCCAAACTTTAATGGAATGATCATTAACATGTCTAGTTTCGCATAATGTTGGCATTTTTCTGGTTCAGTGATTTTTGAGTTATGGCCCTTTGATGAATTTTATTTTTTAAAGTTTTGTCCGGACTATTTCTCTTATACTAATATTGCAATTTAAGTGAAACTTTACATGATTGAACGGTATCTCAAGTACTTGCCCATATTTAATGGACTTTCCTGTTGAATATTTTTTGACTGAGTTATGACCCATAAATAGAAAAAGTGTTTGGGTCAGTTCATGATTTTTGTGTCTCCTGCTACTCAGTAGCTGCAACATGCAATTGGCTATCATCAGGTGTCACATGTCATTACTGATTGCTCTAGTTCTGGTATTTGGGAATTTTCATGCTTGTGTCACTTTTAACTCAAAAATATATTTGCTAAGGCAATGTATTTTTCAGCATGTAAATTAATGCACCTGTGTATTTTGGCACAAATTTTTCCTTGAGATTGGCAGAGTTATGCCCTCTATAAAGTGTTAAATGGAGCTAATTGCTTAGGAAAACAAAATTTAATGAGTAAAAAGTATTGAAATTAGAAAGCCCTGATTATGTCTGCCACACGATGATCATGAAAATTTTGACAACCAAACAAAAAAAAAGATTTTAATGAAAACAAAGCAGGAAAGCTTGTGAAATTGAGCCCGGTTTTGTTTCTTTTAAAATCTTATATAAAGTTATGTTGAGTAAAAGGAAAGATTAGATCTAGATTTAGATATACTAGTTTTATCTTTGTTAATTTTTCACATTTTTACGGTAAAAACATCAATCTTTTTAATGACATGACCAATGTTTTCTCAGGTGAAATGCATATTTATAACTCGAAAATTTGCTTTTAAACAACTTTTAAGAAAATGTTTAAGAAACTTTAAAGTTTATAAAGCTCAGTTCATATTTATTTTTGTTTTATTCATTGAAATATGTAATAACAACAAAATTTCCAATATTTTTTTATGCCAATTGTAATATTCTTCTCATAAAATCTGGAGGCCTGCAGTTGTATGTGAGCTTTAAATAGTTCATGAATAAAAACAGCAGTAGTAGATTCCTTTAGTTTGTGAAATGCTAATTTAGTTTTTTCTTAAAATGTTTATCAGTTTAGTATACATTTATAGATGTCTTTTTATACTTTGTGCAATATTCTTTGCTTAACTCTTGTATGAAATACTGATTAGAAGATGATTTTTTAGTGACTTTTCTTATTTCTTTCAGAACTGTGATTTACAAGTTAAAAAAGTTTAGTGTAATATTGATGATTCATCTTTAGCCTGCTGGCTGCAACTAGTATTACCCATGGTACCAGTTCAGACCAAGATCAGTTGGCACATCTGAGCTGTCTGATCATGGTCTGCACTGTTTTGCTATGCAGTCGGTTCTTCTTTTGATTTTTTTTAAATAGTGATGCATGTTTTTTATACCAGAATGAAAGTTGGACAATTCCATTTAAGATATTAATGGTGGTAAGGGTTTACATATGATTTTCATTGAATACGGGATATTAAAGAACTGTCAAAAGAGTGCTCTGGTTTGACACCTATGACCTTGTTTTAAAAGGTTATTTACATTTTCATTTACGATTCCAGACTTTTAATTTTAGGTGTTTTAATTTTTAAAGATTTTTTTATTACAGCTTTGATTAAATGTTGTGTTGTACTAAAATACTTTATATATTTTTTGTTTGTCCATAAATCATTTGTAATTTATTAAAATTGCATTCATATGAAGCAGTAAGTAGTTTATGTAATATAATTATACTTGTTCAGAGCCAAAATGTATCAATATCTTTGCAGTTGCCCAGACCCTTACTATTGTAACTGACAATTTCAGTGATTGGTTGCTCTTGTGTAAACAGTTTTGCACATATTTATTTTGTAAAAGGAGAAATGATTATCTAAACCTTGATTATGTGACCCATGATCATGTGACCCATGATTGTGTGACCCATGATTATGTTATGGTTATGTTAACCATGAATATGTGAACCATGATTTATTCAACCATTATGTAAACCATGATTATGTAAACCATGATTATGTGAACCATGATTTATTCAACCATTATGTGAACAATGATTATGTGAACCAAGCTTTTTTCAACTATATTAATGTTAATGATTATGAATATATTTATATGTTTTCCTTTTCTAATAAAAGGCTAAGAAGAATCTACATGTTGTTTGTTATATATTGTGTTCATGGCCCAGTGGTTAAGGTGACTTGTTTCTTTGAATGTGGTGTGTCAAAATTTTTCGAAAATGGAGATTAACCATTTAAAAGAATGAACCATGCTGTGCATCTTGGGTCTCCCTCTCTTTCTCAGAAAGCTGGACAACTGCCTTATGATAATAACAGTGCCACTGTGACTTAAACCCCTTGTGGCTTAAAGGGTTGAGGCATCAGAATTGCAGCTACTGTTTATCCTTATGTGATCATAACATGTGAATTACTGAGGGTACGAATTACATGATGCTATGCATCTCTTCTCCAGCGGGTGAGGTGGTTTTGACCCTTGGTGTTACTTATTAAATTGTGTTGGCGTGCCGTAAAGCCAAAGAGAGCTTTGACTTAAACCATACCATATTAATGTCCAATAATTTTCATGTGAGGAATCAATCCATACAACTTACTGAAGATTATTTGCGTGAAATAATGTACCTAAATGTTACAGAGGTAGCTTGCATTTTCCTATACCAAAAAAGATGGAAACATTTCAATGATACTTTAAACCTGAGCCCACTGGCAATAACAGATTCTATCCACGCTACCAGTACAAACCCAAGATCAGCTGACACATTTGTGCTGTAGTTGCTTTTACAAGTTAAAAGTTTTGTGTAATTTTGATTATTTATTTTTAGCCTGCTGGCTGCAACTAATATTACTCATGGAACTAGTGCAGACCAAGATCAGCTGACACATCTGTGCTGTCTGATCATGGTCTGCACTGTTTGCTATTCAGTTAGAACTTATTTTGAAACTGTTTACCTTAAATGATGAATGGGTTTGTACAGATTGAAGATGGACAAAGATTTTTCCCACTCTGAAATGATCTTGTGAAACATAGATTAATTTTTTAATCAAATGTTTATTTTGGTATATGCATTAAATGAAATTATATTAATTTATGTTTTCAAAAATAGAAAGCGGTCACTTAAACTTTTGAGTAATCAACATTTTAACTGAATGATAATTTTAAGTGATATATTCAACTTACTGTATTGTGATATAAACAGAGACATAGATAACAGAGATTGGCAACTTCCTAGCCAGTTAAAATATCATGCATGCCTGCTAAACTACAAACTTGTAGCAAGTAAAACTAATTAACCAGATATCAAAATCAGTAAAATAATACATTTTCTGAAAGCTTATGCATTTGTCTATGGCTGCAGGTAAAAATATTTAGAGTTTCCATTGAAATAAATGAAATATCAATTTTTAAAGAGAACTACTTAATAATTTTTGTTACAAAACTATTCATATGTTGAAAAAACAGGCTCAGTAGGTATGTTCTGCTATGTTTTTCTTAGTGAAAGGTATGGAAAGGTACCAATATTTTAACATGCAGCAATAGATAAATAATTTACCTTTCAAATGGTATATAATATTATAGGATCAAATGTATATCCATTAAGTTTTATTTGCTACAAAATGCCTAATTTTTCACTTTTTGATAGGCATGAGTGATATTTCAATGGAGTATATAGGAGCTGCTTATCTCTGTTATCTATGTCTCTGATATAAACTAGTCTCAGAGAATTACTTGAAATGATAATACACCAAATACAATACATGTATACATTATAGATATAAAACATACTTGAATGAAACATTTTTCAAACTAAATTAATAAAAAAAATGTTTCTTACAATTTAGGTCGAATCGGTTGCGAATTTTTAAGGGGTGAATCGTTTTATTATCTAATAGTTACCTCCCCTTTACAAACCGCGCCATTTGCAACAACAATTTTAGGCGCCAAATGTTGGCATTCTATTGTACAGTATTGACCAGCCTTTCGACGATTGTAAGCCAGTTAGACGGGTGTTTGTGATCTTAGGTAAACCAGTTTAATATTTTATTTCTTTGTAAATGGGATTTTTATTAAAAATTTTATGTGAATATTAATTAGAAACCTGAAATAATCGAATCAAGCTTCAAATAACTTACGATCACAGTTTGTCCTAGTAGCCCAACAAATTGTGCGCTTTAGGGCTTTTTTATTATATAGACAATGGTGGCCCTAATATGAGATATCAGATTATAAAATCGGTCGGTCTTGCAGTCGAAATATTGAGACTATTGTCCGAGGTGTGTCCATCGTCAACTTTTTTTCAAAGTCTTCCCTGAAACCACTATGATAAATCATACAGCTTTATGTTACGTTTATTTATTCTTTAATCATTTATGGCTTCCAAAACTTTATAAGAAAAAAAAAAAAAAAAAAAAAAAAAAAAAAAAACAACTTTATAAGCCGCTTTTTAACATTTTTGTTTTTCATCAGATGCGGCATTAAAGTTTTGGATTAGACCCGTTACGAAACCTTACCAGAATAACATAAGTTGATTTATTCTTGTTTTTCACTTGCAAATACACTTGACCCGATCAATTCTTTTGCATTTTACGGTAAAACAATTATTTAAATATCGTTCTATACCAATTCAATTAATAAAATATTAATACCGTCATTAAAATTGCCTATTTAACTATAAAACATCAAATTTCACCGACTACAATCGGCCATGACATTCAAGTGCCACGCGAGACCTCGTATGACGTCATTCGCGGGAACAGATTTGAATAGAGTTGTGTACTATATTTAGAACATTTTGTTGACATGATTTCGATATTTTTATTCAAAATAATGTTTTTATTTATTTTCATATTTTTATGGAATTTAAATATGATTTTATTGAATATAACAGTCAGTAAATAACCCTTTTCAACATCTTAAAAAAAAGTAATCTATAAAAATATTGGAGGCACATGGGTTCCTAAAGGTCAATCTCGTAATCACGTGGTCAAACATTTTGGCAAGATGGCGGCCAAGTGCCGAAATTTTTACCTGTCGGAAACTATTAGGTAGTTTATGTTCCTAATAAGATTTTTATTTGTCCATCCTTGGCTTATCAACAGATTATATATCGTTTTATCAAGGTATGCTTCACTTTACTTCGTGGAATGTTCGATAAATAAATACGAGCGTGTCAGATTCCTGGCACGATTATTGGTGGACTTTCCCTCCCGGGTTATCTTCAGCGTTCACGTCATGTCATATATATAAACGGGTACGCTGAAGACCTTAAGCTACAGTTGAGTTCACACTAAAGGTTACACAAAGTGCACTAGGAGTGCACTACTAGTGCACTACAAAGTGCACTAGTAGTGCACTACTAGTGCACTTCATAAGTGCACTTTGTAGTGCACCAGACCTATTATATGTATTAAGCAGTTACCTTTTATTTCACTGAATAGCAATTTGACTTTTACAAAAAGATAGAAAATATAGATATCTGTTTAATAGATTTTTAATAAAAAATTGAAATTGTGATTATTGGATTTTGTAAAATATGGCGTAAAATATTAGAACAATAAATTTCAAAGTCATTAATTTTACTGATTTTGTACTTTAGAATTTAATTGTTAGAATAAGTAATTTAAATATAAATAATTATAACTTTAATGTTGATAAGTGCATAAATAAACAAACTTAATTGATATTTAATATGATTCTATTTTATTATAATCTGGTAATGAAATATGAAACATTGAAATGCTAATCAAACAAAATTAAGTCAGTTCTTTTTTTGGGGGGAGGGGGAATTATACCGTAGTATTAGTTATTTTTGATCTTAACTTATGGTTGTTTTAGTTAAAGGTAATGATTTTAAGCATTAATAGCCTTTAATACATTAAAGAATCAATATGTTTATAATTGGCCTAAATTTTGTCAATTTTATTTCATTTATAATCTCTCTTACCTTCTCAAACTGACATTTACCTAAGATTAATATAAATGATATATATTATTCTGAAAATAAATATTTATATATAATGGTGGTATGTATTGATATGTGTGGATTAAGTATTGATATGTACCTGTGGGATACTAGTATACTTAAACTGACATGGATATTAACAAAAAGATCAGAAAATCTGTCAATTCCATTTTTTTGAGATGACACCAATCTTTTTTCCTTTTTTTTTCATGCATTGTAACATTATTATGCAATATGATTAATTTTATGAGTTTATTATAACTTGCAAAAATATTCTTTTTGTACTATTTGTAATGAAATTTATTTGCACCAACATCCAGAGAATACAGAATTTACATCGCCTAATCTGGCTTATGTTATTTACCCTGAGGGGCTCTCTTATCAGCAGGGTACTATATCAAAACACCTATACACAGCATGACTTTTGACACTTTAATCTCCTGTAACTGTTTTCTGCTCATGTATGATATTAAATTTAAAAAAAAAAAAAAAAAAAAAGAAAAGAAAAACAGATCTGCATTAAAGTGAAAAGGAAGTTGCAAAAGTTTTATAATCATGTATTTAAATAATATTTTCTTTAAAATATATTATCTTCTAAATGCGTAAAAACTGACAAGGCAAATTTGTCAAATCTATAATAGAAAAAAATAGCATTTCCCAGTTCAAAAACTAAAAGATGCTGCAAATTTTAATGCATAATTGCAAGAAAAGTGAAAAAATATTGATACACAGTCTTTGTAGAATAGTTAACACTGATATTGGTTTTAAACCAGTATTTTATAATAAGATTAGAAAATTCCACTTCAAAGACAATAAATGACAATAATATCTAACATGCGTTTATGACATTAAGATTATTTTTTAAATTTGATTATACAAAAAATAAATAAATGTTGCATACATTTGCATTTTTGTTATTTACCCTGAGGCCCTCTTATCAGCAGGAGACCAGTGTATTGAAAACAGTCGCTCTCAAAAAAAAAAATACCAATACACAGCATGACTCGAGACTTTCCTCTTGTATAACAACATTCCCTTTATACATTACATTTTTAATGTAGAAATCTTGAATAAAGTTATAAATTTTATTAATTTTATGGAAAAATTTTAATTATGTATATCTTTAAAAAGTATGCAAGCATTTTATGGTTGAAAAACATAATATCACAGTGTATAAAATGTTTTAATATCAATGAATTAATATTCTCTTTCAATCTTGAACATGAGGAATTGCCTCTTAAGTAATATATTATCACGGATTTATATTAATAGTATATAGTAATATAAATCCGTGATATTATTATGCAGAATGGCAAGAAATGTGGATAAATGGATACATATAGAAAATTCCGCTTTAGAAACAATAATATCAGAGACATAGATAACATCTATCTATGTCTCTGATAATATCTATTATGCATTTATGCCTTTATGTTTTTTTGTATATTTGATTATACAAAAAATATGGTCATTTACTGAGTGCCAACGCCTTATTAAATCCCAGGTTTATGTCTAACATGCATTTTGAGAAAACCAGGGAATTTCAATGCATTCTTATAAATCTGCAAAATTGACTGTTCTTTGTTATTTACCCTGAGGCCCTCTTATCAGCAGGAGAGTGGTATATTGAAAACAGTCTCTCTCAGAAAATACCAATACACAGCATGACTTGAGATTTTCCTCTTCAATAAAAGTGTTCCCTTTATACATTAAATTTTTAATATTGAAAAAATGTATATCAAAGATATCAAATTTATTTATTTTATGGATAATATTTAAATTATTTGCATAAACATATGCAAGCATTACACAGTTGAATACTAAATTATCACAGTATATTGATTGTTTTAAAATCAATGTACTAATATTCTCTTTCAATATTGAACATGATGAATTGTCTCTAAGTTATATATTATAGAAATTATATTTTAGCTTAAATATAACCGTTCCTTGATTTGTTTAAGCTTATGAAAAAACGTTTATGATGTAACAAACTAAATTAATTGGGCCATAATTATCACATTGATTTATACCATTTGTACACTAGAAAAATTGAAATATATGGCCATTAAAAAAAGCTTTAAAAACACTTATTTAATTATCCATTACGGAGCCTTAATTTAAATTTAACCTTATTAATTCTATAAATTTGATTTTAAGGGGTATTCTTTTTCACTTACAGTTAAATACTGGTTAATAAAAATATGATTACAATAAATGAAAAAAAAAAAAAAAAAAAAAAAACATTTTAATTTTAAGCTTCAACATGACAATCACCTAAAATGTTAAAACTGCTGATTTTAAAATTTACTTATTTATATTCATGAATAGGCCATATATATATTTTCCCAATTTTTTTTTTCATACAGCAGCGTAACAATGGATGCCCCCCCCCCCCCACTTGATATACAATTATCCAATAAACCATTTAGGTGTCACCTTCCCTGGCCAGCCTGGTCATATGGTCTAGTGCACTTCTAGTGCACTTCTAGTTCAGCTCTAGTGCACTAGAAGTGCACAAGGGTGGGAAGTTTAGTGTGAACTCAACTGTATACTTACTACAAACATTCCAATGATTCTGCCCCATTATCTAGGTCAAAAGGGCCAATAGATTTTTAAAATGAAATCTTTATATAGGGCTAAATCTTTAGAGATTTTGTGTGTGAAACTACATATTTTGTTCAAATTAAAGCTCTGGGGTCAAAATTGCCTCATCCCCAATTAAAAAAAAATGCAAGGGCTATCTCTTAGATATTTAACATAATACATATTGTTTAGTGGAATGGACTCCACAAAAATTGTCAAAATTATAGCTTTTAGGTCAAAATTGGCCCCACCCTGACTGAGGGTCTTCCTTACTTGTTTATGGTAAAAACTTACAAATTCTTCTTATCTAAAATCATGACAGCTAAAGCTTAGCTATTTTGCATGAAATATTGTCTAATGAACCTCTTCTAAGTTTGTTAAAATTATAGACCTTGAATCTAAATGGCCCAACCCTGTGGTGTTATAGCCCTGGGATCTAATTAGCCCAACCCCATGGTGGTATAGCCCTTGGATCTAATTAGCCCAAACCTGTGGTAGTCATGAATTTTCCTAATATTTTAAATAATTTATATAAAGTGGCCCCACCTCAGGTTCATGGAATGTACATTTTATATATTTAACTTTAAAAATTCTTTTTAAGGCAAAAGCTTAGTGCCATGAAACATTTACTAGTGGACCTCTTTGTGTTCAAATTATAGCCCCGGGGTTTATATACACACTCTTACTTTTTAGCTCGACTATTCGATAAGATAAGTAAAGCTATTGCAGTCACCCGAGCGTCGGCGTCAGCGTAACCACTTATGTTAAAGTTTTTGTAATAGTTCAAATATTTTCAAAGTCCATTGACATATGGCTTTGAAACTTTGCACACTTGTTCACCATCATGACCCCAACCTGTAGACAGGAGAATGTAACTCTATCAAGCATTTTGACAGAATTATGCCCCTTTTTCGACTTAGAATTTATGTTAAAGTTTTTGTAATAGTTCAAATATTTTCAAAGTCCATTGACATATGGCTTTGAAACTTTGCACACTTGTTCAACATCATGACCCCAACCTGTAAACAAGAGGAGGTAACTCTATCAAGCATTTTGACAGAATTATGCCCCTTTTTCGACTTAGAATTTATGTTAAAGTTTTTGTAATAGTTCAAATATTTTCAAAGTCCATTGACATATGGCTTTGAAACTTTGCACACTTGTTCACCATCATGACCCCAACCTTTAAACAGGAGGAGGTAACTGTATCAAGCATTTTTTTTACTATCAAGCACTTTGAATAGTCGAGCGTTGCTGTCCTACTGACAGCTCTTGTTGTTGCTTAGTTTTAAGAAGTTGCTTTTTTTCATCTTTCCATAAAGCTGTCTCATGTATCATAAATGTTTTGCAACTTTTATTATCCAATTCAATTCTAAAGACACAGTTATCCTGCTGGTCAATTTCTGATTGTTGTCAATGCCACTGCTTTAACAATTAACACTCAATATAAGTGTAAAATACTTATGAGTACTCCTTTATAACATTTATACCTGTCTCATATAAAGTTATTATTGTTCTGATTCAACTGTAATTCTGATGCAGAAAGTGTTTCTTTGATATTTTATCATGATCAATCATCAATATATACATTGTGAAATTTATAGTATTTTTTTCTTAATAACTGACCTGGTAATAACTCATTGAAACATGACAAATGAATAGTTATTCCAGATGTTGTGACTTATCAGTTTATATCAACATCAAATTTGCATCTTTGTAGTTTTCATCTTACAGTTAATTAGCTTCAAATAGTGGTCCAGCAACTTGAAAGCTGTAGATAAAAGTGAAGGGGAGTGGTTGTTTAGTGGTTAAGTTCTCTGCCTCTCAAGCCAGAGATCATGGGTTCGAGCCCTACTCTGGGTCAGGACCATGTTTCTTCATATGACACCAGTACTGGTTGGTTCCAGGAAGCAGACTCGAAAGTGATAAATACAAGAACTTGTTTCAAAATCAAGCTTAAATTAATACGTTTAGACCATAAAAGTGATTTATATCTATCTGTAGTTCTAATTTACCAGAGAGATGACCCATTGTAGAAAATGAAGGTTATTCACCATAGTTTCTATAAAGACCATATTACAGAACAAAATAAATGAACTGAACACTGAATTAAAGATAAAACTCTAGAAATTGATACGATAAATTTATACATATTTCAGTAATTTTTAGCTTGACTATATATGGAGAGCTGTCTTAACGGGCCCCGCGTCCGCATCCAGATTTCAGATTTAAGTTTTGGTGCAGTAAAATATTTTTCACTGTAACTTTTTCATTTTTAAGGTATTAACTTCAAATATATTTTCCTTATCATCAACCACATCTTATGTGACAAGGTTCATAACTCTAGCACTAATATTTTCAGATTTATCTCTCCTTGAACTTAGAATTTTCCTTAAAAATATTATTTTTACAGTAACTTCATTATTTCTTTAGGGATCAACTTCATACTTCTAATATATGTTCCTTATCATAAACCCCATCTTATGTGATAAGGTTCATAACTCTAGCACCAATATTGCAAGAATTATCACCCCATGAACTTGAATCATGAAAGTTTTTTTTTTTAACTTGAAAAATGTTTTTTTTTCTATAACTTATTTAGTTTTAAAGATATCTACCTCAAACTTCAAATACATATATATTCCTCATCATCAACAACATCTAATGTGTCAAGATTCATAACTCTTGAAGCAATATTTTTCAGATTTATCTCCCTCTGAAATTTCTTTAAGAAATATTAAAACTTCTTTACCTTTTAAGGTATCTCCTTCAAACTTCAAATATATATTTCTTAATATTATACACATGTTGTGTGACAAGGTTCATAACTCTAGCATGACTATTTTTAGAATTATTCCCCCTTGAACTTGGAATTTATGTCAATAAATGTTATTTTTAGCTCACCTGTCACAAAGTGACATGGTGAGCTTTTGTGATCGCTTTTCGTCCGTCCGTCCGTGAACTTTTACTTTAAACGACATCTCCTCATAAACCACTAAGCCAATTTCATTCAAACTTCACAGGAATGTTCCTTTGGTAGTCAACTTTAACAGTTGTTCAAAGAATTTAATTCCAAGCAAAACTCTCGTTACCATGGCAACCAAAAAAACAAACTTAAAATATCTTCTTTAAGAAAACCGAAAAAGCTAGACCTTAAATATTTGGCATGAAACATCATCTAGTCATTGTCTACCAAGTTTGTTCAAATAAATGCCTTGGGGTCAAAATTGGCCCATTGATTTTCCTTGATTGTATAAAGTAAAAACTTAAAAAATCTTCTTTTAAAAAGCCCAAATAGCTAGAGCTTAGATATCAAGCATGAAACATCTACTAGTAGGTGTCTACCAAGTTTGTTCAAATAAAAGCCCTGTGTCAAAATTTGCCCCGCTCCAGGGGGTCATTGTTTTTCCCTTTATGTATATAGTAAAAACTTAAAAAAATCTTTTTTTAAAAAACCCTAAGAGCTAGAGCTACGATATTTAGCATGAAACATCTTTTAATGAGTGTCTACCATTTTTGTTCAAACAAGGGCCCTTGGGTTAAAATTGGCCCTGCCCCGGGGATCATTGATTTTCCTTAAAAACTTAAAAATCTTCTTTTAACCCTTTCCCTCATGAGCATATTGTGAAAAATGGCCGTTTTCACTGAAAACACTCCTGTTACAAGTTCAAACTGCTATGAATCTATGAAAAATGCTTCAATACTGATCAAACTTGGCACAAATGTTGACTAGGCCATTGATTTTGTAACGACATGCTCAGTCTTAAATTTCCTGTTACCATGGCAACGAGGGGACATCTCAAAATTGCCAAAAATCACTATTTTGCCTCAATTTTTTCCATCAAATTTTATTTCAAAGTGCTGCAACTTCTCAAGGGATTGAGATAGAGCCAAAGGCTTTTCAGCGTTGGTTACAAGTTACCTTATGTCACCATTTTCTGAAAAAAATTACATTAGGACAATCTGTTACACTTTAATCATAATTCAGTCAACATTGATTATCAGTGTCAGTTTATATTAATTATTGATGCCTCATTCTAAATATGGTATATTTTCATACAAATACCATTAATAATTTACTTTTAACTTTCCAGATTCATTGGCCATGTTCCTCCGTTTTCTCAAGAAACTTACTGGCATAGACTTGAATGTGAATAATGATGCTGTTGTGGATATGGAGCCAGGCATTACAGTCATGGATCTTCCTCCACCTGTAATTGTAAATATTTACAGTTATCTAAATCCCGAAGATATTTTGTCAATGAGAAACATATGTCCATTATGGAATCACCTAAGTTATGATGCATCTATATGGAGAGAGTTGAACACAAGCAATTGTACAGATTCATTCCTTTCCAATGGCTCTTTCTGCAAACTACTTCATGAGGTAGAAGCTTACATTGAAGTCCTGCATTTTGATATTGAGTATATATCTATACTAGACTACTTGGCACAATCAGAAGCATCATATTGCCAGAACTTACAAGAAATACATATCTTTAACGAGAAAAAGATAGGGAAAACAATTGATATCAATGGTTTGGATCAAAAGATGGTGAAGCTGTCTCAGAAGTGCAAACAATTGAAAAAATTGCATTATGAAAATTTGTTTATCAATACAGATGCTGTTTTTGACAAGTTAAAGTATTTCAAGTGTTCCTCTGACGATGAAACAATTGATGAAACTTTGGAAGAGCCAGCCAGACTTAAAGCTTTCATCCAAAGGCATCCACAGATAGAAGACCTTGACATACACCTCCCAGCGTTGCCTGATGATAATGAACTCAGTGCTACTTCAATACTGTTGGACCTCCCGCTACTGAAAAAGCTGAGATTGTATGATAACTTTACAGATGAGGAAATCCCATTGTTGCAGCCCATCAACCATCAGTTGAATCTAGAGAGTCTAACTTTATACTTCTTGTCTTATGTCACGGATGAAACCATTGTTGCTATCCTTACTAAAGTTCCAAAGTTGAAAATTTTTGATGTAAGATACTGTGATCTAGTGACCGATGTTACACTGAAATGTGTAGCAAAGAACTGCCGTGAAATTACAGAATTTAGCATTGTTGGTTATCATCCAGTGCTTTTTACAGGAGCTGGTGTAAAAGAAGTAGCTTTGAACTGTACCAAGGTGGAATGGGTAACTGTGATTCCATGTTCTGATGATGATGATGAAGACATTTATGCATTTATTTCACATTGCGCAGAAAAATTGAGGTTGCTTGTTGTGAGTGGAGGAGTGACTGACAGAACAATTTTGAAAATGACGGAGATATGTCCGAATATATTTTATCTTGATTTATATGACTGCCCAAAGCTCACAGGGGCTTCCATATCTGCAGTGTTGAGGTGTTACAAAAATTTGGAATGTCTAACACTTATTGGTAATAGTAATATCAAGACACTAGATGACTTTTGTGAAGTTGAAGCCATTAAAGTGTTGAAAAGTGACAAGCAGAAGAATGTTGAACGCAAATGTGTTGTTGAAGAGGGAAAGTTGAAAGCTGTAAAACTAGACAAGATTCAAGAACAGGAACAATCTGGGGAAAAGCTTGAAGAGACGGTATATGACAAACATAATGGTGTGGTAAAAACTCTTGTAAAGTCTACAGAGACAGGTAAAAGATTGTCATTTTTATTATGTTTGCATATGAATGGCTGTTATGAACTTACAGATAATTCGCTCTTCAAATTAGCTTGCTACTGTCCCAATCTGCGTCAAGTACATCTCTCAGGATGTGTCGATTTGTCAGACAATACAGTGAAAACCTTTGTTCAAAGATGCCCCTTTTTATCTGAGTTTGACATAAGCCTTGAATACGCTCCAGAAAATCTGGTAGGGGAGAAAGTAACAGATGAAGGTTTAGCTGACATTGCAAGATATGGAAAGAAACTGTGTATGATCAAATTGGATTTTCGTGATAATATTACGACTGAAGGTCTCTTTGAGTTGATACGTAATTGTCCTATTATACAACATGTGCAAATAAGTGTAACGGAGGGTAAAAGTAACTTGACAAAGGAGAAGCTGATGAAATTTGCAGAGGCTTACAAGCAGAAGTTTATATGTATGAATGTAGATGGGACTGATTTTGGGACGGAGTGCTGCTTGGACATTTACATATCTGATAAAGAGCCAACATCCTTCTCAAGAAAATATTTCTACTTCAATTTTAAGTTCAAAGGTGAATGGAACATTGTAACTGATAAAAATATACAGTGACTGACATTGTACATATGTCATTGATTTAGGTAGCCTGACAAAGCTTGCCTGCATACTCATGCTTATTTTGCTCATGAAGTTTAAGAAAGTGTTTTTCACAATAAATAGTTTGTTCTTGAAGAATATGTAAAAAAATAAAAGAATTTCATCTAGCATAATATTATGAGAAGACTTTTTACATTATTGACTCAATATGCCAAAATATAGCCCCTAGTTTGTACTCCATTACTGATGGGGTAGAAGTATATTAAAAGTAGTTTAAGCTTATGTTCATACATTTTAGCTTGATTTTTTTTTTTTGGAAAAAAGAATTATTGCTATAGTCATGGCAGTGTTCCTGTTGCTGTCAACAAACTTTAACCTTGATCATAACTTTTTAAGTTGTTGGTGTATTGTCTTCATACTTTGCCACAACAACCCTTAACAAGACCAGACTTAAGTTGACCTTTATTCATACATGACATTGACCTTAAAGGTTTAATGTCTTAATTTTGCTTGATTTTTATTAGTGGCTATAACTTTGTTTTTATGCCACCGCAGCATCTGCGATGCGGTGGCATATAGCGATTCACCTGTGTGTGTGTGTGTGTTGGTGTGTGTGTGTGTGTGTGTGTGTGTGTTTGTTTGTTCGTGTGTGTGTGTGTGTGTGTTATATAGATTATATAGTGAACTTAAAATATCTTCTTGTGAAAAACCACTAGTCCAATTTCAACCAAACTTGGCAGGATTGATCCTTGGGTGAAGGGGTTCCAAAGTTGTTCAAAGAATTTCATTCCATGCAGAAATCTGGTTGCCATGGCAACCAAAAGGAATTAAAAGAATAAATTTAAAAAATCTTCTTGTAAAGACCCAAAAGGCCTAGAGCTTAGATATTTTGCATAAGGCATTGTCTGGTAGACCTCTACCAAGATTGTTCAAATTATAGCCCTGGGGTCAAAATTGGCCCGGCCCCGGGGGTCATTGATTTTCACTATATGTACATATAGTAAAAACTTAAAATACCTTCTTGTAAAGACCCAAAAGGCCTAGAGCTTAGATATTTTGCATAAGGCATTGTCTGGTAGACCTCTACCAAGATTGTTCAAATTATAGCCCTAGGGTCAAAATTGCCCCTGCCCCGGGGGTCATTGATTTTCACTATATGTTCATATAGTAAAAACTTAAAATACCTTCTTGTAAAGACCCAAAAGGCCTAGAGCTTAGATATTTTGCATAAGGCATTGTCTGGTAGACCCTTACCAAGATTGTTCAAATTATAGCCCTGGGGTCAAAATAGGCCCCGCCCCGAGTGTCATTGATTTTCACTTTATGTACATATAGTAAAAACTTAAAATACCTTCTTGTAAAGACCCAAAAGGCCTAGTGCTTAGATATTTTGCATAAGGCATTGTCTGGTAGACCCTTACCAAGATTGTTCAAATTATAGCCCTGGGGTCAAAATCGGCCCCGCCCGGGGGGTCATTGGTTTCCTTATATGTATATAGTAAAAACTTATAGTAAAAACTTTAAAAAAATTTCTTCTAGCAATTGACAAATGCTAGAGGTTAGATATTTTGCATGAAACATTGTGAAGTGAACTTCTAGCAAGATTGTTGTTGAATTATAGCCCTGGTGCCAAAATTGCCCCCGCCCCAGGGGTCATTGATTTTAAATATATATATAGTAAAAAATCTTATTGTCTGAAGGTACAAGGCTTAGAGCTTTAATATTTGTTAAATGATATCATCTATAGGAACTCTACCAAAGTTGTTCAAATTTTGCCTCTAGTGTCAAAATTAGCCCCGCCCCGGGGGCCATAGGTTTTCCTTATATGTATAAAGTAAAAACTTAAAAAATCATCTTCTTTAAATTTACAAAGACTAGAGTTAAGATATTTTGCATGAAACATTATGTAGTGAACCTCTAGCAAGATTGTACAAATAAAAGCCCTGGGGTCAAAATTGGCCCCACCCCCAGGGGTCATTGATTTTCACTATGTACACATAGTAAAAAAATAAAAAATATTTTTGTCTGAAGGAACAAGGGATAGATTTTTGATGTTTGCTATATAATATCATCTATAGGTCCTCTACTAAAGTTGTTCAAATTTTTCCCCTGGTGTCAAAATTGGCCCTGCCCGGGGGCAGTGATTCTCATTTTGTACACATAGTAAAAACAGAAAATAAAACAAATGTTTTCTGAATGGGAGAAAGCTACAGCTTAGATATTTGACTTGAAATGTTGTTTGGTGGACCTGTATCAAGATTGTTTTGAATTAAACCCTTGGGTCCAAAATTTTGTCTTGCCCAAGGGGACAGTGACCTACTTTCTTGTCCTTTAATGTACAGCAATGAAATTTTGACCATGTGCACAGTTTTAGTTGTAAAATTGAACTTTGATGTCAGGTGACCTAGGTTTTGTTGATGTGACCTACTTTCTTGTCCTTTGATGTACAGCTATGAAATTTGAACCCTGTGCACAGATAAAGATGTAAAGTGAACTTTGATTTCAGCTGACCTAGATTTTGACAAAGTGTCTTACTGTGTTGTCCTTTTGATGTAGTCATGAAATTTAGGCTGTGTGAAATATGACCTTCACCACCAAATTCACTAGACTCGAGTGCATTGATATCCTCCTACTCTGATCTTTTATTGAGTTAACATTAGATTTAACCACTTATCTGATAATAAGAATAAGATAGGTCAGGGATCTATGCTTTATGACAATCTTCAAAATTGTAAAGAAACAAAAAAAATCTGTTCCTACACTACTATTTAGTGTTGTATTAATGCGGTGGCATAGCATTTTTCTCAAATGCAATCTTGTTTGTTATGTTTTATTGGATTGTCTTCAGACTTGAAGCCTTGGTCCATTTATGAACTACCAGGAAGGTTAAAGTGACATTATGCTCATATTTTCATACTCAAGTTAAGCAGAATTGACTTTTAATTTCAAAAGATTGACTGTTTAAATGGTGTTTGACCACCAGTTTATTTTGGAAAATGTTTAGGATCAAATTTTAAATCTTCCTAAAATATAAAAGACTGCCCCTCTCTTTTTATAAACTGAATGTTTCTGGTAAGTTCTAATTAATATTTACATAAATTCTGCTTTGATCCAGGGGTTATTCATTGTTTATGTTAAGTAAATTATTAAATTAAAATGAATTATGGCAATGTAAAAACTTATTTTGACTTTCACCTGTTCACTCACTGTACATACCATTGAATGGGCAAAATGTAACTGTATTTTTATTTGATTTTTGCTATAATTGACTAACAGTTACTTTTAATTTATAAATGGTTTATCTTCATACTTGAATGGAAAATACTTTCTGAAAGGTTCAACTGACCTTGACTGTCAGGGTCAAATTATTGAATTTGGGTTATATATTTATAATTTTGATATTCATGTACAAATTTGATTTATAATTGGACAAAACAAGACTTGATAACTGCCGTATGAACACATCTGCGGATGTTTCTAAATTCAACAGTTTTGTGTTAAAATGTTGAATTCTGCTTAAGCCAGTGCTAGGGGGCGTGGACGGTAACTTGCACTTTCCAGTACCGTCCATGAACAGGCTCAATCAAACCGAGTCTGCAACATTTTACAATTTTGCCGTGTTGGGCTTTCTTAAGGGATTCTGTTTTTCAATATCCCACATATGGTACCAAACAAACATTGAATAATTAAGAGATGACATTGACCATAATTGACTTTAACATGAAATTCTCTTGTTTTTCCTGTACTTGACTGACTGTTATTTATGAATAGACACAGTGTCCTTTAGGTCAGGGCCAAATTGACATTAACAAATGTGTGACATTGACCTTGATGGCTTAATCATTGAGTTGTCACTGATTGTTGCTATAATATTCTGTAACTTGGTTATTATACCTACACCACAAAATGTGGGGGGGGGGGGGGCTATAATGGATTTGCTTTGTCTTGTCAGTCCGTCCGTCCGTCTCCATTATCGTGTCCACTCTATAAATCCTATACCGATTTTCTTCAAACTTGGCTCAAATGTTCAACTCAAGAACCCATGTTACCCATGTGTCAGCAGTCTGGTCAAGGTCACAGTTGAAGGTCAAATATCAAACAGTCAAATATTAGACAGTATGTTGTGTCCGCTCCTACACTAATTGAAAGATTTTCTTCAATCTTGGCTCAAATGTTCACCTCAACAAGGTTATGTGCAGATCCCATGTTACCCTTTTGCCTTGTTTGTTTGTTCGTTTCATTTTACGCATTTTCCCAACAGTATTTCAGTCATATAGGCGGGTAGTTTCCTAAGCATTGTTTCTGGAGAGTTACATATCCTTTTGCCTACCCTTTTGCGTGTTTTATGGTCAAGGTCACACCTGAAGGTCAAAAATTGACTTAGAAAATATTCTTAAACTTTAACATGTATTTGAATATTTCTGAAACTAGAGAAGGTATTTGCTTGAAACTTTAAATATGTTTGAAGTGTCACAATGAAGATACGCAGGTCAAGTTTCAGAACTCTGTATTGCATTTTGACAAAGTTATGCCCCTTTTTTAGTCCTCAAATTTATATTCAATCAAACATTAGACAATATGTCGTGTCCACTCTATAAATCCTATACTAATGAAGTATTTTCTTCAAACTTGACTCAAATATTAACCTCAACAAGGCTATTTGCAGAACCCATGTTACCTTTGTGTGGGCTTACGGTCAAGGTCACACTTGAAGGTAAAAAATTGACTAGAAAATGTTCTTTAATTTTAACATGTACTTGAATATTTCTGAAACTAGAGAAGGTATTTGCTTGAAACTTAAAAGATATATGAGGTGTCACAAGTAAGATATGCAGGTCAAGTTTCATAACTCTGTTTTGCATTTTGACAAAGTTATGCCCCTTTTAAAGTCTTTAACTTTACATACAATCAACACCAGACAATTTGTCGTGTCCGCTCTATAAATCCTATACTTATAGAAGGATTTTCTTCAAACTTGACTCAAATGTTCACCCCAACTGGGCAATATGCAGAACCCATCTAACCCTTGGGCCAGCTTAAGGTCAAGGCCACACTTGAAGGTAAAAAATTGACTTACAAAATGTTCTTAAATTTTAACATGTACTTGAATATTTCTAAAACTAGAACAGATTAATCATTTGAAACTTCAAATGTATAGGAAGTGTCGCAAGTAAGATATTCAGGTCAAGTTTCATAACTAAAAAAGCGTGTGGGGGAATAACTTTGTATTGTATTTTGACAAAGTTAAGTCCATTTTATGCCCCTTTTAGGCTTAGAAAAGGTTCTGATATAACCATTAATACTTAAATGTTTCTGAAACTTGAACAGATATTCACTTGAAACTATATAGTATATGAAGGGTCACAAGTAAGCTCAGTATACTCTTAATTTCATTTGTCATAATTATGCTATTTTCTTAACTACTCTGCTTTTGTTTGTTTTAGTACATTGGGAAAATGTAAGGTTATTTGTAACTGTTTCAAACATGATTTGACAATATATATTTATACTATTACCTGTACAATTTGTCTTTTTTCACCAGAGATATTTTTTTTATGTATATGTATTTATGCCACTGAAGTTATTCCCTTAACCACCTTTCCAAGTCGTCTTCTGTCAAGGACATTGGTGGGGGTATGATTGGCATTCAGCGATAGTTTTAGTTATACAAATGGAATATTATGTTGTAGTAGCTTTCTGAGGCTTTGTATTTTTTCTACGAGCATCGGTGGAAAATTGATATCTCGCGAAACCGAAGGTCGAGCGAGATATCAATTTTCCAATGTTGCGAGTAGAAAAATACATAGTCTCAGAAAGCTACTATAACATAATTTTCCTTTTATTATATGCCCGAAAGGGCATATTATGTTATACCCCCTGGCGTCGTCTGTCTGTCCGTCCGTTAGCAATTTGGTTTCCGGAGCATAACTTAAGTTCCATTTGGCCCACAATGTTCAAATTTCATAGGATGATTGTCCATATTAGGTAGAAGACCCCTATTGATTTTGGGGTCAAAAGGTCAAAGGTCAAGGTCACTATGACCTTAAAACTGAAAACAGTTTCTGGAGCATAACTTAAGTTCCATTCGACCCACAATGTTCAAACTTCATAGGATGATTATCCATATTGGGTAGAAGACCCCTATTGATTTTGGGGTCAAAAGGTCAAGGGTCAAGGTCACTATATCCTTAAAACTGAAAACAGTTTCAGGAGCATAACTTAAGTTCCATTTTGCCCACAATATTCAAACTTCATAGGATGATTGTCCATATTGGGCAAAAGACCCCTTTTGATTTTGGGGTCACTAGGTCAAAGGTCAAGGTCACAATTACCTTAAAATCAAAAACAGTTTCCGGGGCATAATGTAAGTTCCATTTGGCCTGCTATATTCAAACTTCATAGGATGATTGTCCATATTGGGTAGAAGACCCCTATTGATTTTTGGGTCACAAGGTCAAAGTCACTTTTACCTTAATACTTAAAACAGTTTCTAGAGCATAATTAAAGTTCCAATTGGCCCACAATATTCAAACTTCTTAGGATGATTGTCCATATAAGGTAGAAGACCCCTATTGATTTTGGGGTCACAAGGTCAAAGGTTAAGGTCATTATTAATAACTTAAGTATTAATCAACCTACAGCTGTAAAATTTTATAGGATGAACAGCTAATTCCCTGTTTTACAAATGCTTCATCCTTACTAAAAAAAAACACTTTCGGGCATATAATGCTCCGCCTAGCGGTGCCCTTGTTATATACCTTGTCGTTAATGAAATGTAGTTGTCAAAAAATAAATTTATGACTGACGGATGAATACGTAAGTCTTGCAAACCGGCCGCGCCTTTAATAATTTTGGTTCCCGTTTCCAAATGCAACGTTATACAAAGCTAAGATCGGAACCAACGTCAAAAATAGTCCGGCACTTCCATATATGGTACCGTATTTGTCACTAACATAATACGGAAATTTCTATCCGTATCTAATACAAAACAACAAAATTGGACTAGGTCTAAAAGGTTGAACTGACATTGAGCTGTAAATAACATTAACCCATTACCCGATGAGCATTTTGTGAAAAATGGCTGTTTTCATTGAAAAGTCTCCCGTTACAAGTTCAGGTTGCTATAAAACTATAAAAACTGCTTCAATACTAATCAAACTTGGCACAAATGTTGACTGGACCATTGCCTTTGTAACAACATGCTCAGTCTGAAATTTCCTGTTACCATGGCAACTAGGGGACATCTCAAAATTGCCAAAAATCACTATTTTGCATTGATTTTTTCCATCAAAATTGATTTCAAAGTGCTGCCACTTCTCAATGGATCGAGATAGAGTCAAAGGCTTTTCAGCATTGGTTACACGTTACCTTATGATCGACCTGGGGCCATTTTTAGCCTCCCACAAGTCCAAAATTTTCTTGGCGATGAGGGGGACTCTGCCCCCCCTTCAAACCCCCCAAACAGAAGGGGGCACATCCCCCTTCTGGCAACCCCCTGATGTATCTTTTGGATGGGGGGCCGCGCCGAAAAAGTGGTCAATTTTTTAAACAACATTTCTCAAACAAAAACAAGTGTTTTGGGGCCTTAATAAGGCATTTTTTCACCATTTGAGGAAGCAAAAAGGGGGGGGGGGTGAAAAAGGTGTAGAAAGGCGTATATATCTGGTAATGGGTTAACCGTCAAGGTCAAATGATTGAATTTTGGTATTGATACTTATGTACAGATTTGATTAATACATACATGTAGACAAAACAGCACTTGTCACCAAACCAGCATGTTGAATAATTGAGACATGACTTTGAGTCCTTGACCTTTAATGACAAAATGACATTCACCATTGGCGTCAGATGATTGAATTTTGCTTTATGCTCGAAAATTTGCTTTAAAACAAACTATAAAAAGGGTTTAAAAAACTTAAAATTTAACAAACTCAGTTTTTATTAGCTCACCTGTCACTTTGTGACAGGGTGAGCTTTTGTGATCGCTTTTCGTCCGGCGTCCGTCCGGCGTCCGTAAACTTTTACTTTAAATGACATCTCCTCATAAACCACGAAGCCAATTTCATCCAAACTTCACAGGAATGTTCCTTTGGTGGTCACCTTTGAAAATTGTTCAAAGAATTTAATTCCATGCAGAACTCTGGTTGCCATGGAAACCAAAAGAAAAAACTTTAAATATCTTCTTCTAAGAAACCCAAAGAGCTAGAGCTTAGATATTTGGCATGAAACATCTTCTAGTGGGTGTCTACCAAATTTGTTCAAATAAAAGCCCTGGGGTCAAAATTGGCCCCACCCCAGGGGGTCATTGATTTTCCCTAGATGTATATAGTAAAAACTTAAAAAATCTTCTTTTAAAGAACCCAAAGAGCTAGAGCTAAGATATTTAGCATGAAACATCTTCTAATGGGTGTCTACCAAGTTTTTTCAAATAAAAGCCCTGGGGTCAAAATTGGCCCCGCCCCAGGGGGTCATTTATTTTTCCTATATGCATATAATAAAAACTTAAAAATCTTCTTTTAAAGAACCCATAGTGCTTGAGCTAAAATATTTAGCATGAAACATGTTCTAATAGATGTCTACCAAGTTTGTTCAAATAAGAGCCCTAGGGTCAAAATTGGCCCCGCCCCAGGGGGTCATTGATTTTCCCTATATGAATATAGTAAAAACTTAAAAATCTTCTTTTATAGAAGCCAAAGAGCTAGAGCTAAGATATTTAGCATGAAACATGTTCTAATAGATGTCTACCAAGTTTGATCAAATAAGAGCCCTGGGGTCAAAATTGGCCCAGCTCCGGGGGACAATGATTTTCCTTAAAATGTGTATAGCAAAAACTTAAAAATTTTCTTCGAAAAAAAACCAAATAGCTAGAGTTTAGATATTAAGCATGAAACATCTTCTAGTAAGTGTCTACAAAGATTGTTCAAATAGAAGCCCTGGGGTCAAAACTGGCCCTGCCCCAGGGGTGTCATTGTTTTTAAATATATATGTAAAGAAAAAACTTAAAAAATCTTCTTTTAAAAAACCCAACGAGGATGAAACATCTTCTAAAGGTTGTCTACCAAGTTTGTTCGAATAAAAGCCCTGGGGTTTAAACTGGCCCCACTCTAGGGGGCCTATATACAGGTGAGCGACTTCAGGGCCATCATGGCCCTCTTGTTTATTTTTGTTCTATTCATTGAAATATGTAATAACATTAAAACTTCCAATAGTGTTATGCCAATTGTTTTCTTCTCATTAAATCTGGAGCTCTGCAGTTTAAAGATGTATGTGAGCTACAAATATTGCATGAATAAAAACAGCAGTAGTAGATTATTGTAGTTTGTGAAATAAAATACTGATTAGAAGGAAACTTTTAAGTGATCATGGTCTGCACTGTTTGCTGCTCAGTCAGTTCTTATTTTGAAAATGTCCATAAAAAGTGATGCATGTCTTTTTTGTTATGTCCGGAATGAAAGATGGACAAGTCCTAATAAGATATTTAGGGTGGTAATGGATAATTTTTCAATTTTCATTGAATATATTATATTAAAGAACTGTCAAAAAGTGTGCTCTGGTTTGACACCTATAACATTGTTTCAAAAGTCATTTACCTAAACCGTTGGTAAGGTTTTTAATTGCTATTCCAGACTTTCAACTTTAGGTGTTTTAATTTTTAAAGATTTTTTTATTAAGCTTTGATTAAATGTTGTGTTGTACTAAAATAGTTTATATACTTTTTTTTTGTCCATAAATCCTTTGTAATTTATTAAAAAGCATTTATATGAAGCATGTAATTTATTAAAAAGCATTTATATGAAGCAGTAAATAGTATATGTAATATAATTATTCTTGTTAAGAGCCAAAATGTATCAATATATTAGGGATTTTCCAGATCCTCACTATTGTGACTGACAATTTTAGTGGTTGGTAGCTTTTGTTTTAATAATTTTGCACATATTTATTTTGTACAAAGAAAAATGTTTTAGCCTGAACCACCGGGTCATGAGTTATTTATAGAAAATACTTGCTATTGAAAGGTAGAAATTGTGTCTATTATTTGTATGTTAACATGTGCATGATATAAATTAAGGTCTGATATGTACATACGAGTATATTTAAACTGTGGTGTAAACCATGATTATGTGAGGTATGATTATCTAAACCTTGATTATGTGGCCCATGATTTATTCAACCATGATTATATGAACCATGATTATGTAAACCATGATTATGTGAATCAAGCTTTTTTCAACTATAATAATCTTAATGATAATAAATATATTTATATGTTTTCCTTTTCTAATAAAAGGCTAAGAAGAATCTGCATGTTGTTTGTCATATATTATATTCACGGCCCAGTGGTTAAGGTGAATGTTGTTGACATACTTGTTTCTTTGAATGTGGTTTGTCAAAATTTTTCGAAAATGGAGATTAACCATTTAAAAGAATGAACCATGCTGTGCATCTTGGGTCTCCCTCTCTTTCTCAGAAAGCTGAAAAAGTGACTTATGATAATAACAATGCCACTGTGAATTAAACCCCTTGTGGCTTGAAGGGTTGAGGCATCAGAATTGCAGCTACTGTTTATCCTTATGTGATCATAACATATGAATTACTGAGGGTACGAATTACATGATGCTATGCATCTCTTCTCCAGCGGGTGAGGTGGTTTTGACCCTTTGTGTTACTTATTAAATTGTGTTGGTGTGCCATAAAGCCAAAGAGAGCTTTGCCTTAAACCATACCATATTACTGGCCAATATTTTTCATGTGAGGAATCAATCCATACAACTTACTGAAGATTATTTGCGTGAAATAATGTACCTAAATGTTACAGAGGTAACTTGCATTTTCCTACACCAAAAAAGATGGAAACATTTCAATGATACTTTAAACCTGAGCCCGCTGGCAATAACAGATTCTATCCAAGCCACCAGTACAAACCCAAGATTAGCTGACACATCTGTGCCATCGTTGCTTTTACAAGTTAAAAGTTTTGTGTAATTTTGATGATTTATTTTAGCTCGTGGCTGCAACTAATATTACCCATGGGACCAGTGCAGACCAAGATCAGCTGACACATCTGTGCTGTCTGATCATGGTCTGCATTGTTTGCTATTCAGTTAGAACTTATTTTGAAACTGTTTACCTTAAATGATGAATGGGTTTGTACAGATTGAAAGATGGACACAGATTTTTCCCACTCTGAAATGATCTTGTGAAACATAGATTAATTTTTTAATCAAATGTTTATTTTGGTATATGCATTAAATGAAATTATATTAATGTATGTTTTGAAGAATAGAAAACGGTCACTTAAACTTTTGAGTTATCAACATTTTAACTGAATGATAATTTTAAGTGATATATTCAACTTACTGTATTGTGATATAAACTAGTCTCAGAGAATTACTTGAAATGATAATACACCATATACAATACATGTATTCATTATAGATATAAAACATACTTGAATGAAACATTTTTCAAACTAAATTGATAAAAAAATGTTTCTTACAATTTAGGTCGAATCGGTTGCGAATTTTTAAGGGATGAATCGTTTTATTATCTAATAGTTACCTCCCCTTTACAAACTGCGCCATTTGCAACAACAATTTTAGGCGCCAAATGTTGGCATATTCTTTTGTACAGTATTGACTAGCCTTTTGACGAATGTAAGCCAGTTAGACGTGTGTTTGTGATCTTAGGTAAACCAGTTTAATATTTATTTCTTGTTTAATATTTTTAACCAAGTTTTCCGAAGGAAAAAACTGGTTATTAGATTGAGGTATGTCGGCGGGCGGACGGGCGGGCGGGCGTAAACAATTTCTTCTGTGCGCAACTCCTCCTACATTTTTCAACGGATTTTGACCAAACTTTCACAGAAGCTTTGTCATCAAGTGACCTGGCGCATATTGTCGGGGTTTTGTGATTGGATAATATTTGACCTAATTATGGCCCTTTGTTTTTTTTCCTTATATAGAATATATAGTGAATAATTTCTTCTGTGCCCAACTGTTCCTACATTTCTCAATGGATTTTGACCAAACTTTCACAGAGCCTTTGTCATCAAGTGCCCTGGGGCATATTGTCATGGTTTTGTGATTAGATAATATTTGACCTAATTATGGCCCTTTGTTTTTTTTTCCCAATATAGGATATATAGTGAACAATTTTCTGTGCGCAACTCCTACTACATTTTTCAACGGAATTTGACCAAACTTTCACAGAGGCTTTGTCATCAAGTGCCTTAGAGTATATTGTCAGGGTTTTGTGATTGTATAATATTTGACCTAATTATGGCCCTTTGTTTTTTTTTCCTTATACAGATTTTAAAGTGAACAATTTTTACTATGCGCAACTTCTCCTACATTTCTCAACAGATTTTGACCAAACTTTCACAGAAGCTTTGTTATCAAGTGCCCTGGCACACATTGGGGTTTTGTGATTGGATAATATTTGACCTAATTATGGCCCTTTGTTATTTTTCCTTGTACAGAATATATAGTGAAAAAATTCTTCTGTGCTGAACTCCTACATTTCTCAACGGATTTTGTTCAAACTTTCACAGTAGCTTTGTCATCCAGTGCCCTGGGGCACATTGTCGAGGTTTTGTGTTTGAATAATTTTTTTTATTTAATTATGGCCCTTTGTTTTTTTTCCTTATACAGAAGAACACTTCCTCTGTGGCAATTCCTCCTACATTATTCATGTTTTACATTGCACAAAGTTACATTGCAGGGCCCTCGATCAACCAAATCTGCGGCCGATAATCGGCCGCAGTCCCCCACCAAAATAGTATGTTTTTTTCCCCCTAACAGAGGTAAAAATTCCCCCTCAAAATATATAAAGTCAGACTAGTGTTAAAGAAAAAATGAAAACTAATGTTGTTTTTGAAAATTAAAATCCATCTATTTGACGGCTATTTTATAAGCGGAATATCGTACAGTACATGTCTGCACATTTCCGTTTGTTTTTTCCCCCAAAATCTACCGTCACATATTGGCCTTTCATCCTGTAAAAATGCTGAAATTTCAACTGAAATATGCAGAAAAAAATCACAATTCCCATCAACAATTCGATTTCAAATTGTTTATTCTTGAAATCATTTTTTTGTCTTCAAAATGTTACATCAACCACGGTAAATTTTGCCGTAAATTACAAACTTGTAAGTTTTGTTTTCATGACTCTTTATTAAATAACTGATGGAAAACGATCTTATAATAAACAATCAATAATAATATAATTTACATCAGTAATAACTAGATTTGTGGATGTGTAAACAGAAAACAAACAAATTTTCATTTATCACATATTTTCGCGATGCCGACTTTTACGATTGTTTTACAAAGTCAAGAAAAGGAAGCTTTGTCTTATATAAAGGTGTGTTAGAACACTAGAAATGTAGTTTATGAATAGAATTTACTTTAGGTCCATGTAATGTACATTTTAGTGGAAATAAAGACATTTGTCTGAATGTGTTTCTCAATGCTTATTTGATGGGGGGGGGGGGGTGAATCATAAAGAAAGCTAAGCAGCATAAAGGTCTGATGGTGTAAGGTGTTAAAAACTTTTCTTCAAATCTTATCAATAACTTCTGAACAGTTTTGTGTTACCTATTTTGGGATTTTTTAAAAAAAAATAGTATGCAAGTAAATAAAAAACAGCTTATATTTAAAAAAGTTTATTTGATATTTGATCATAAAAGAAAATAGGAAAATTCCCCCCATACCCTAAAATTCCCCCTGCTGAGGGTAGCGACCCACTTCCCCCAAATTGGATTGAGGGCCCTGATCATTGTTTGTTTCTTGTATTTGTATTTCAAATGCAACATATTCATCTACAATGGTGATAATTGAAAACCTGGTTTCATGGCATTGCCATGTTTCTTGTATTTCTTTGTAAATGGGATTTTTATTAAATTTTTTATGTATGATTAAGTAAAAACCTGAAATAAACGAATCAAGCTACAAATAACTTACGATCACAGTTTGTCCGAGTAGCCCAACAAATTGTGCGCTTTAGGGCTTATTATATAGACAATGGTGGCCCTTATATGAAATATCAGTCGGTCTTGCAGTCGAAATATTGAGACTATTGTCCCTGAAACCACTAGGATAAATCATACAGCTTTATGTTATATTTATTTATTCTGTAATTTATGTTATATTTATTTATTCTGTAATCATTTATTCTGTAATAAATGTGATGAAATTTTTCTTGATGTTCCGAGAATGAGCACTACAAACATTCCAATGATTCTGCCCCATTCAGGGGTCAAAAGGGCAAATAGATTTTTAAAATGAAATCTTTATATAGTGTTAAATCTTAAGAGATTTTGTGTGTGAAACTCTACATAAATTGTTCAAATTAAAGCTCTGGGGTCCTCATCCCTAATTAAAAAAAAATGCAAGGGCTATCACTTAGATATTTAGCATAATACATATTGTTTAGTGGAATGGACTCTACAAAAATTGTTAAAATTATAGCTCTTAGGTCGAAATCGGCCCCACCTAGTTAAAGATACTTCGGCAAACAGGTTTTATAGTACTGCTAGACCTGTTCGCTGAAGCCAATCCAGTATAGAAAGTCAACCAGAACCGTGACATATTTATGTCATGCTGTAATTCAATAAATTTGGGTGATCTGGACAAAAGCAATTTTAATACAGGTAGCTAGTTAGATATATTTGGGACACTTTAGTCTATATTTTTGAACACAGAATGTTAGATTGATGAAATAATGTCTCAAAGTTTATCAGCGGGTTCACATTTCATAAAATTTGCCGCCATTGCTGCCCTAATTATCATGTGACTAGCGAGAATTTAGGCATGACATTTGGTGACCCGTGACCCAAATGCTATTTTTAATTGCAAACATGGCTTTGCAATTATGAATAACGGTGAATTTTTTCAATAACAAACATTGTACCAAAAACATGTTGGATTTATATTGTTTTGAGTGATGATTCATGAATTATTTGTTTGTTTTTATATAAAATCATACACTTACTAAAAATAGTATTTGATCCAATACTAAAAATAGATGCAAGAATTCCCAATACTTGAAGTCCCGCGAGATTTCATTTGAAAGCAGACTTGATATTGGTAAACATTCTCTACATATTTCCCTAAAAAATAGTTGGGTTGAAGTTTCATTTAAAAACAAAACATGAATTGATTCAAAATTGATTTGTTTATCAAATGATATTTTTATTTGAGCCAAATTTGATTAATAAGGGTGATGTTAATAGGTTTTTATGTATGGCGCACAAACTGCCAAATTCTGGTGGCCTTTGCAAATAGGGTTGACCCATAACTTTACTGTCACAACGTCAAAATAAAAGCGACATATAAAGTTATGGAAGCCAGAACTAGGCACCACCCTGACTGAGGGTCTTCCTTATTTGTTTATGGTAAAAACTTACAAATTCTTCTTATCTAAAATCATGACTATTCAAGCTAAGCTATTTTGTATGAAATATTGTCTAATGAACCTCTTCTAAGTTTAATACACAAGTAAATCAAAGGAAGGAGAGAATACACATCAAACATCAGGATGGTTTATAACTGGTTTATTCTAGGATCTACCGGTTTCGGTCTTTCAAGACCTTCATCAGGATACATTTCAAAGAAAAATGATTACTGAAGTACTAAAAATGTGTAAACCGAATGTGACGTATGTTACTATAAATAGACATATAAATGAGTTTATCTGGGCTAAGAGCCAAGTTTTTCTGGGCAAAGTGCCAAGTTATTTTTCCATATAAAATGTTTCAAGTGTTGGATAACCACAGAACATATCTATGTCAATGACCAATGACTCTTCTAAGTTTGTTAAAATTATAGGCCTGGAATCTAAATGGCCCAACCCTGTGATGGTTCAGCCCTGGGATCTAATTAGCCCAACCCCATGGTGGTATAGCCCTGGGATCTAATTAGCCCAACCCTGTGGTAGTCATGAATTTTCCTAATATTTTAAATAATTTATATAAACTGGCCCCGACCGGGTTCATGGAATGTACATTTTATATATTTAACTTTAAAAATAGCTTAGATATTTATCATGAAACATCTTCAAATGGGTGTCTACCAAGTTTGTTAAAATAAAAGCTCATGGGCTAAAATTGGCCCCGCCCAGGGGGCCTATATACAGAGTGAGTGATTTCAGGGCCATCATGGCCCTCTTGTTTTACTATATCTTCTTGTCATATGGATAAGAGTTATAAAACGCAAGCTTCTGTATTCCCAGAAGTATCTCCATCTTATTTTTGAATTAAGAATTCATTCGTAAATTGATTTTAGTATTATCTTTGTTAATATAAATGGTATAAGATAAATAATTGTTCTTTGTCACTATTCACATCATGCATGACAAGGTTCATAAGTCTTGCATCTTTTTTCAACAGTTTTTTTCTAATTTTACTTTATAATACTCTATATTCTATTTGCTCTTATTATTTTTGTTTTTGAAGGGATTGACTTTAGATTTCAAATTGCTTCCTTTTCCATTAAAGCATAGAAATGTCTGTTTAACATTTATTGACAAGATCATACCCATAGTATGTTGTGCAAAAATATAGAAAATTTGAGTGCTTTCTTGATACTGATACAGAAATATATTTATTTATATCATAATTAATTTCTCTATCATAGTTTTGTCTTCCTTACAGTTATTGTGTCCAGTATTTAATTAGTCTCCTGTGACGGCTGTTGTTGTTCCTATATTTAGCTATAACTTTGTTATTAATGAATGGAGTGTCTTCATACTTGGACTTTTGCCCAAGTATTTAAATAAAATCTATAAATGTCTATAAATTAATAACAAAGGTATGGCCAATTGTAGCAAAATTCACTAATTTGATAATTTAACATTATGACAAAATCTGTATGTTGAATAATTCAGATATGACCTTGACCTTTAATTGACCTTGACCACCAATAACAAATTATTGAAATTGCTTAAATTGTCATAACTTTTTTCTTACATACAGATTTGATTCATACTTGAACACAAATGACAAAATGGACATGTTGAATTATTCTGATATGATTTTGACTTTTATTTGAAATTTGCTTACGGTAAATTGTCATAAATTCATTATTTATTTATGGATTTGATTAATAATTCTTTGACAAAAGAACACATAACAAAAGGAACATGATGATTAATTCAAATTGTTACCTTGATCTTTAATTGACCTTAACCGTCAAGTCAAGTATAAAAATTCAATTTTATTTGTTACCAAAAAAAATGTTTTGTATGAGTACTCTTTATTGTAATTTTCCTCTCTGATGTGTTAAGACTACAAGAAGTAGTAAGAAAAGTGCAGCTCCCATTAGGCGACTGTTCTTTGAAATATTAATCCTACAACTGATTACAAAGAGCAAGATGGAGTTTTATATCCTTAAAGTGAATGTCTACTTATTGTTGTGCTTGTGGTAATTTAGTTCTTTCTTTTCGGCTATTTTTTTGTTGGGTGGTTCCCATAATCCTCTTTTGAACACTGTTGAATCACTCTTAGGATATGTGGCCTGCTTTTTAAATTTGTCTTCTGACATCTTATCTGTGATATGCAGGCTTCATAACCTCTGATCTCCTTTCCAAATTCCATTTTATTTAGTTTTGCCCATTGTTTTCTCGTTTAGGGCACATGTATTTCTTTACTTCGGGACCATATGCTGCTTTTCATGGAATGGCACTTACGTGTCACATTGAAGGTTCCATGATGACTGCCTTATGAACACATCTGCGGATGTTTCAAAATTCAAAATTGTACCAGTTCATGTTGAATTCTGCTTAAGCCGGTGCTAGGGGGCGTGGACAGTAGTATGCACTTGACAGTACCGTCCATGAACAGGCTCAATCAAACCGAGTCTGCAACATTTTCAATTTTGCCGTGCTGGGCTTTCTTAGGGATTCATATTTTCTCTATTCTATATTAAAAGCTTTTGTCACCATTTTCTGAAAAAAATCACATTAGGACAATCTGTTTCACTTTAATCATAATTCAGTCAACATTGATTATCAGTGTAAGTTTATATTAAATATTGATGCCTCTTTCTAAATATGGTATATTTTCATAATTTACTTTTAACTTTCCAGATTTATTGGCCATGTTCCTCCGTTTTCTCAAGAAACTTACTGGCATAGACTTGCAAGTGAATAATGATGCTGTTGTGGATATGGAGCCAGACATTACAGTCATGGATCTTCCTCCTCCTGTAATTGTAAACATTTACAGTTATCTAAATCCTGAAGATATTTTGTCAATGAGAAACATCTGTCCATTATGGAATCACCTAAGTTATGATGCATCTATATGGAGAGAGTTGAACACAAGCAATTGTACAGATTCATTCCTTTCCAATGGCTCTTTCTGCAAACTACTTCATGAGGTAGAAGCTTACATTGAAGTCCTGCATTTTGATATTCAGTATATATCTATACTAGACTACTTGACACAACCAGAAGCGACATATTGCCAGAACTTACAAGAAATACACATCTTTAACGAGAAAAAGATAGGGAAAACAATTGATATCAATGGTTTGGATCAAAAGATGGTGAAGCTGTCTCAGAAGTGCAAACAATTGAAAAAACTGCAGTATGAAAATTTGTTCATTAATACAGATGCTGTTTTTGACAAGTTAAAGTATTTCAAGTGTTCCTCTGACGATGAAACAATTGATGAAACTTTGGAAGAGCCAACCAGACTTAAAGCTTTCATCCAAAGGCATCCACAGATAGAAGACCTTGACATACACCTCCCAGCGTTGCCTGATGATAATGAACTTAGTGCTACTTCAATACTGTTGGACCTCCCGCTACTGAAAAAGCTGAGATTGTATGATAACTTTACAGATGAGGAAAGCCCATTGTTGCAGCCCATCAACCATCAGTTGAATCTAGAGAGTCTAACTTTATACTTCTTGTCTTATGTCACGGATGAAACCATTGTTGCTATCCTTACTAAAGTTCCAAAGTTGAAAATTTTTGATGTAAGGTACTGTGATCTAGTGACAGATGTTACACTGAAATGTGTAGCAAAGAACTGCCGTGAAATTACACAATTTAGCATTGTTGGTTATCATCCAGTGCTTTTTACAGGAGCTGGTGTAAAAGAAGTAGCTTTGAACTGTACCAAGGTGGAATGGGTAACTGTGATTCCATGTTCTGATGATGATGATGAAGACATTTATGCATTTATTTCACATTGCGCAGAAAAATTGAGGTTGCTTGTTGTGAGTGGAGGAGTGACTGACAGAACAATTTTGAAAATGACAGAGATATGTCCGAATATATTTTATCTTGATTTATATGAATGCCCAAAGCTCACAGGGGCTTCCATATCTGCAGTGTTAAGGTGTTACAAAAATTTGGAATGTCTAACACTTACTGGTAATAGTAATATCAAGACACTAGATGACTTTTGTGAAGTTGAAGCCATTAAAGTGTTGAAAAGTGACAAGCAGAAGAATGTTGAAGGGAAATGTGTTGTTGAAGAGGGAAAGTTGAAAGCTGTAAAACTAGACAAGATTCAAGAACAGGAACAATCTGGGGAAAAGCCTGAAGAGATGGTATATGACAAACATAATGGTGTGGTGAACACTCTTGTAAAGTCTACAGAAACTGGTAAAAGATTGTCATTTTTATTAGGTTTGCATATGAATGGCTGTTACGAACTTACAGATAACGTGCTCTTCAATTTAGCTTGCTACTGTCCCAATCTGCGTCAAGTACATCTCTCAGGATGTGTTGATTTGTCAGACAATACAGTGAAAACCTTTTTTCAAAGATGCCCCTTTATATCTGGGTTTGACATAAGCCTTGAATACGCTCCAGAAAATCTGGTAGGGGAGAAAGTAACAGATAAAGGTTTAGCTGACATTGCAAGGTATGGAAAGAAACTGTGTATGATCAAGTTGGATTTTCGTGATAATATTACGACTGAAGGTCTCTTTGAGTTGATACGCAATTGTCCTATTATACAACATGTGCAAGTAAGTGTAATGGAGGGTAAAAGTAACTTGACAAAGGAGAAACTGATGAAATTTGCAGAGGCTTGCAAGCAGAAGTTTATATGTATGAAAGAAGATGGGACTGATTCTGGGACGGAGTGCTGCTTGGACATTTTCATATTTGATGAAGAGCCAACATCCTTCTCAGGAAAATATTTCTATTTCTACTCTAATTTTAAGTTTAAAGGTGAATGGAACATTGTAACTGATAAAAATACACAGTGACTGACATTGTACATATGTCATTGATTTAGGTAGCCTGACAAAGCTTGCCTGCAGACTCATGATTATTTTTCTCTTGCACATGAAGTTTAAGAAAAAATTTTACACAATAAATATTTTGTTCTTGAAGATTATGTAAAAGAAAAATAAAAAAAAATTCATCTAGCACATGAGAAGGCTTTTTACATAATTGACTCAGTATGCTAAAATAATAGCCCTTACATGTTTGTACTCCATTACTGATGGGGAAGAAGTATATTAAAAGTAGTTTAAGCTTATGTTCATACATTTTAGCTTGTTTTTTTTAAGAAAAAAAGAGGCACTGCTATAGCCATGGCAGTGTTCCCGTTGCTGTCGACAAACTTTAACCGTGATCATAACTTTTTAAGTTGTTTTAGTGTATTGTCTTCATACTTTGCAACAACAACCCTTGAGACAAGACCTTTAAGTAGACCTGACTAAACTTCACCTTTATTCATAAATGACATTGACTTTAAAGGTTAAATGTCATAATTTTGCTTGATTTTTCTAAGTGGCTATAACTTTGTGATTTGTTTATTTTTAATGGATTGTCTTCAGACTTGAAGCCTTGGTCCTTTTATGACCTTGACCAGGAAGGTTTAGTAACTGAATTTTTATTTGATTTTTGCTATAATTGTAACAATTAGATCTAATTCTAATTTATAAATGGTATATCTTCAATCTTCATACTTGAATGGACAAAACTTTCTTAAAGGTTGAACTGACCTTGACCTTTAGCTTTAAATGACCTTAACAGTCATGTTAAAATTATTGAATTTGGGTTACATTGTCATAATTTTGTTATTCATGTACAAAATTTGATTTATACTTGGACAAAACAAGACTTGATACCACACATGGTGCCAACAAACCTTGAATAATTCAGAGGTGACATTGACTTTAATTGACATTTACCATGAAATTCTCTTGTTTTTCCTGTAATTGACTGTTATTTATGAATAGACCAGCATCCTTTAGGTCAGGACCAAAGAGACATTGACAAATGTGTGACATTGACCTTGAAGGCTTAAACATTGAATTGTCACTGACTGTTGCTATAATTGGCTGTAACTTGGTAATTATACAAGGGATTATCGTTATACAAAACAACAAACTTGGACAAGATCTAAAAGGTTGAACTGACTTTGAGCTTTAAATAACATTGACCATCAAGGTCAAATTATTGAATTTTTGTTGCCAAAATTTAATTGGTATTTATGTACAGATCTGATTAATACTGACATGTAGACAAAGCAGCACTTGTGACCAAACGGGCATTTTGAATAATTTTGAAATTACTCTGAGTCCTTAACCTTTAAATGACCTTCACCATTAAGGTCAGATGATTGAATATTTCTTATATTTTTAACCAGGTTTTCAACGAAAACCGGGTTATTGTAATGCCTAAGTTGGCGGGCGGGCGAGCGTCAACTTTTTGTTTCCGCTCAATAACTTTAGTTTGCTTTGGCCTATTGACACCAAACTTGGTGTGTAGGTAGCTTATATCAAGAGGCAGGTTGGGATTGCTACCCAGGTGTCTGTGATCAAGGTCAAGGTCACTGTTTCTAAAAATAGAATTTCAGTTTCCGCTCAATAACTTGAGTTTGCTTTGGCATATTGACACCAAACTTGGTGTATGGATAGATTATATCAAGAGGCAGCTTGGGATTGCTACCCAGGTGTCTGTGATCAAGGTCAAGGTCAATGTTACTAAAAATAGAAATTCAGTTTCCGCTCAATAACTTGAGTTTGCTTTGGCATATTGACACCAAACGTGGTGTATGGATAGATTATATCAAGAGGCAGCTTGGGATTGCTACCCAGGTGTCTGTGATCAAGGTCAAGGTCAATGTTACTAAAAATAGAAATTCAGTTTCCGCTCAATAACTTGAGTTTGCTTTGGCCTATTGACACCAAACTTGGTGTATGGATAGGTTATATCAAGAGGCAGCTTGGGATTGCTACCCAGGTGTCTGTGATCAAGGTCAAGGTCACTGTTACTAAAAATAGAAATTCAGTTTCCGCCCAATAACTTGAGTTTGCTTTGGCATATTGACACCAAACTTGGTGTATGGATAGATTATATCAAGAGGCAGCTTGGGATTGCTACCCAGGTGTCTGTGATCAAGGTCAATGTTACTAAAAATAGAAATTCAGTTTCCGCTCAATAACTTGAGTTTGCTTTGGCCTATTGACACCAAACTTGGTGTATGGATAGGTTATATCAAGAGGCAGCTTGGGATTGCTAGTTTGCTACCCAGGTGTCTGTGATCAAGGTCACTGTTCTTAAAAATAGAAATTCAGTTTCCGCTCAATAACTCTAGTTTGCTTTGGCCTTTTCACACCAAACTTGGTGTATGGATAGATTATATCAAGAGGCAGCTTGGGAATGCTACCCAGGTGTCTGTGATCTAGGTCAAGGTCACTGTTACTAAAAATAGAAATTCAGTTTCCGCTCAATAACTTGAGTTTGCTTTGGCCTATTGACACCAAACTTGGTGTATGGATAGGTTATATCAAGAGGCAGCTTGGGATTGCTACCCAGGTGTCTGTGATCAAGGTCACTGTAATTAAAAATCGAAATTCAGTTTCCGCTCAATAACTCGAGTTTGCTTTGGCCTTTTCACACCAAAGTTGGTGTATGGATAGCTTATATCAAGAGGCAGCTTGGGAATGCTACCCAGGTGTCTGTGATCTAGGTCAAGGTCACTGTTACTAAAAATAGAAATTCAGTTTCCACTCAATAACTTGAGTTTGCTTTGGCCTATTGACACCAAACTTGGTGTATGGATAGGTTATATCAAGAGGCAGCTTGGAATTGCTACCAAGGTGTCTGTGATCAAGGTCAAGGTCACTGTTACTAAAAATAGAAATTCAGTTTCCGCTCAATAACTTGAGTTTGCTTTGGCCTATTGACACCAAACTTGGTGTATAGATAGGTTATATCAAGAGGCAGCTTGGGATTGCTACCCAGGTGTCTGTGATCAAGGTCACTGTTCTTAAAAATCGAAATTCAGTTTCCGCTCAATAACTCGAGTTTGCTTTGGCCTTTTCACACCAAAGTTGGTGTATGGATAGCTTATATCAAGAGGCAGCTTGGGAATGCTACCCAGGTGTCTGTGATCTAGGTCAAGGTCACTGTTACTAAAAATAGAAATTCAGTTTCCACTCAATAACTTGAGTTTGCTTTGGCCTATTGACACCAAACTTGGTGTATGGATAGGTTATATCAAGAGGCAGCTTGGAATTGCTACCAAGGTGTCTGTGATCAAGGTCAAGGTCACTGTTACTAAAAATAGAAATTCAGTTTCCGCTCAATAACTCGAGTTTGCTTTGGCCTATTGACTCCAAACTTGGTGTATGGATAGCTTATATCAAGAGGCAGCTTGGGATTGCTACCCAGGTGTCTGTGATCAAGCTTAATGCATTTAGTTTTCATGTTATAACTTGAGTTTGCTTTGACCTTTTGACACCGAACTTGCTGAGTGGCAGCTTTGGATTGCCACTTAGATATCTGGGAGCAAGGTCAAAGGTTATTTGCTTACAAAAGAATTTTCAGTATCTACTCAATAACTTAGTGCACTTTGGCCTATTGATTGCTGTCACATCAAAACTTGGTCGTTGAAAACCTGGTTTTCGTCGCATTGCGGCGCTTCTTGTCTTTGACATTTATTTTAGAACTAGCTAGTATGAATAGACAGACCTACTAAGATAAAAAATAAAATGGAACACTTAATTTTTTTCTATCTAATTTTCTTATTAAAGATTTGTTTAAACCGTTGGTTTGTTTGCTTGTAATAAAAGTAAAATAAAATCGAGCGTTGCCCCCGCCCGGCGGCGGCTCTTCAAATTTGTATCTTACGTTTGGTTAAGATGGAAGCGGGTTTCCCACTCTCGTATAAAGATCACGTTTTGTAAAAAGTATACTGAAAAATATAAATTACTTAGAAAAGCCCGAACGTTATTGTCGAACGCGTTACATAGCAAGATTATTTTGAGACATTGCTTTGGATTACTTGTGGAACTCTTTCCTGCTGCGCATAAAGTTGAATGTCCCACAACTGTTAACTTTCTTAAAGGGGTGTATTCAATTAGTTGCTAAAGGAGCGTAGTGGACCTCCTAGAGCCAATGTCATCGTAACATTGTTTCCAGACGATAACTATAATCAAGTATGAAATGAGGCAATCGGTTGTAAAAAGGTTCTGTATATATGATAGGTGCGACATCATAAAAAAAAGACCGAGTACAAATTTGGCTTCAAAGAGCTTTTTTTACTTAGTTAATATATACGCAGTTATGCCCTCCCCCTTTCCAAACAGAATACCGGACGAACGTATTTTGATATGTGTATGTTCACATGTTTAATTTGGAAAAGTAACAGTGAAATATAAACACCGCAAAAGTGTCACTTGAGCTCCGTACACATGAAAGCACTTCATCGTACAACACAATGACAAGAACGCAATTTCACACATATCTAACTGGTGTTTCCGTTAGCTTTAATTTAACCATGCTTGAAATGTCATCTGGCATCTGAGTCCTTTGTATAGTGTTAATTCATTTCATAAATTTAAGAATGAAATTGTGTTCAGTTGTATATCGTTAATTTCTTTCGGTTTCGAAAAACGAATACTTTACTTTTTGCTTTGCCAATACAGCAAATTGACGGTCTCTAAAAATGGACGTTTTAATTTACAGAAATTAAATCAGTTGCAAATAAAAAATATATGCAACTGAAAGCTATTTTGTGCATCTTTTATGCATACCTGTATGTAATTATTTTGAATTTGAGTTTTGTAATTCACAATTTGTCCTTGAAATTCAGACACACTTAAATAAAATCTTATCAACAGACGTTGTCAAGTCGGCGATAATTTGTCTCCCATTAACAGATCCACTCATGACTGTGATATTCTCTTATAATTGTTTTCATCGCTTTTTAAAAAGAATGTCTCCCCTTTAACTTTGCTTTCTGATGTGAAATTATAACCATATTTAAATCATTATCTCAATTAACCTTTTCAAGATAAAGGATCTTTATTAAGAAGGAGATAGCTTATTGACAATAATTTCGAAACTGAAAATTATTTTGACCATGAGTGTAGAATTACTTTGTGACACGGAAATGAATTATAAAAAGTGTCCCTTATCTGCTTGCATTTTTTCAGACTGACTTCCGACTTCCATTTACAGAACGGTATCCTAGTGTAGCAAGTGTTTCCAGTCTCAAGGATCGTTCAATAATAATTCATGTTC